TATCTTTTATTCCCTCTGGCCCCTGTTGGTTTTAAAGGGAATCTATTACTACTGTTGTTTTTTGAAAAGGATCTTAGGCAAATTGAGGATTTGGACATGCAGGACACAACGTGAAAAAAGCCCCACCCCCTCAAGCAAGACGGGCTGCCTTATTTGGCATGCAATCGGCGGCGCCATGCCAACTCATCCGGTCAGCAGCGTCATGCAAACCAAACTCCCCACGAACTCTGGGCGCAGTGCGCGCGGTCCGAGCGTGAGGCGGGCTGCCATGAAGTGCCTGCACAGTGCATGGGCAAGCCTCAAAAGTTAATGCCAATATTGGGTGTGTCTTTCTTTGGGGTGGTTTTCTTTTTGGTTGTTCCACTAAAACTACCAGCAAAAAGGGGTACCCTCAAAAAAGATATACCCATTTCGGGTCATTCAATATGTCCGTTGAGCGAGGTTTTGTTTGCAGGAAATGATCCTGACGGTAAGATTTTGATTGCTGGCAACACCTTGCGCAAATCAAAGGAGAGTGCGGAAAAAGCACACACACTTTTCATCTTTGATTGTTTAAAGAATATCTTCCCCACTAGCCAGCAAATAGTCGATCGCTTTTTGCAGGGGATCAGTTTGACCAAGACCGGGGTTTGTTTTGATTTGTTTTTTCATTCTTGATGTTCAGTGAGTATGGATCAAAATCAAGCATATGAGCAACGGTCATTTTCTTTGCTGTCATCTTCGAATGGGATGACATGCCCCACTCACCAGAGTAGCATTAGCATACGAAGTTACTCACCAATATAGCGAAGGTGGAAGCTGTTTCATGTTTGTTTCCCCGAGGCATTACCTCACCTCGTACCATGCAATGCCGCCCCTTGGCGGAAAAATGGGGCAGGTGGGCGGGCAGTGTGGTCAGAGAAACTTCGGATTGAGTTCTCCGCATTCAAAGACCCAACTCCTTCTCTCCACGAAAGTCCAAAAATCACACTCCTTCTCTCCAGGTCTTTCCCTGGACAAAAGCCGTTAAAACCCAGCGGGTTTGAGGATTTGTCTTAAACGCAGGATGGGTCAAAAGGATGGTTGTGGAACATTTTGGGTTGCGGGGCCAGGTTTTTGACGCGGGAACCCGCCTTGAGCACTTGATGGGCGGAGAAGCAATCACGGTATCACGAGGTTGATGTTCTACAGGAGTGCCCTTTCTTTGCTTGGCGAACCCCCTGCCATCAGTGCAGCAGGTTTAGTTGGTTTAGTGGCAGTTTCCTCTAAAACGCTAAACGTTTTCGACTTTGAGCAGGGGATTGAAGAGGAACAGGCCAGGTTTTTTCAGGGTTTGGAATTGGAAAAAGTTGGTGTCCTTTTTGATTGGTTTGGTCGAAACATAGAGGGCGATTCCTGGTTTACCTGGTGGTTCGAGCATCTACCAGGGCCGTCTATTTTCCAACGAGGACACCTATGCTTTTGACAGATCGGAACCACTGGGCACTTCACTCAGGGTGGCCATGTCCATGTTCCAGATGGCTCGGCAAGCTGCACCTGCCTCCCCGGACCGACCAGGGTTACTCTGGATTCAGCTTTGGGTTCTTATGGGTGTGTGTGTTTTCAGCGTACTCTTTTTGGGGTCGGTTTACAGGGAAGCCAAGAGGAAACCACAAAGTTGGGCAGGGTACCCCTGTTTTGACACATACCCTTATATTATCCACCTGAGCCTTGACCCCTTCAAATGGTGGCTTCTTTGTGGCGGAAGAGGCTGGCAATTCGTATGCTTCAGGAGCGCAATGATGTGGATCCTCTGAACTGGGCCGGATCAGCTTTATGTGCTGGGCCTCCAATATGCAACTCGCGGGGCTGGTTTGCATGCGCCATGGAAATTGCTTCCCTAGGTTTCCCTGGATCCCTCCAGACGGTTGGTTTCACGTCATGTTGGTTTTCTTTTGGGCCACACATGGGCCGCAGAGTGTCAGATTGTTTTTGTGAACTCAGCACAACCCAGCTTTTTCGTGGTAAGCTATGCTCGCTGGTGCTCAGCAGGGAATAGTTGGAATGATCCCTATAAACCACCCCCTATGGTTTCCTTTGTTCGGGAATCCCCAGCTTCATTCCCTGATTCCCCACTGATCGCACCAGCAGGAATCTTGCTATTGGCGGAACTTCGGGATTCCACTTGGGGACTTCAGAGGCCTTTTCTTGTCCAACGCCCACGGGCAACGGCCGGCTTCGGCGGATGTCTCCAACATTAAATTGGCTGCTTGTTTTTGAGGGAACCCCCGAAATGGTGGTTTTACTTTTGGTCTTCCTTTACCGGAACCAAAAAAAGGGGGCCTATATACCCTAGGGTTCCTTGCCCCCCTTACAAGGCTGCTTCCAATCTGGATGTTGAAACTCCTAGGAAATCATGTGGTGATTACATTCACCCCCTTTGCATGGTTGTTGTTGGGACACATTCTACATGCTTTTGCTTATTGTGGTCTGGTTGAACTCCAAATCCACTCAACTGCTAACAAAAAGAAGAAGAAATTGTTGCTCCCCAAGCCCAACGTCAAAGTCCAATGCTCCAAGCCCCCAGGCCCAAGAACCCCCACCAAGTTGGTTGTTGTGGTTGGAACCCCAGGGCCTGGAACCACAACTACTTTCCGGCCATTTCTTGGAACTGAGCATCAGCAAGTTTGTGGGCATAGAACCACTTTCCGATGCGCCATTTCTTTCTTCGCGCCATTTCTTTCGGATGCTCAGGGATATTCTTTTTGAGCCTTGAGGCCTAGGGCTCAAATGTGCTTCTCTCCCAAAGGGCACCCATGTCTTCCCCAGAATTCGTTCCTTAAAAACAAAAAGCGTTTTTTTTGCTTCTTCTGTTTTGGGGTTCCATTTGTTTTCCACTATCCAGGCAAGCCATATTTTTTTGCCGGGGTCCTAATGCCAGCCAAGATTTTGGCTTTATTGGGGGTCCCCCGGAAGGCACTTCTTCTACAAGCGAAGGCCTCGGGGTTCCTGCAGGGCGGTTGCCCTTGGCCGTTTTTTTTTTTTTTCTCCCCCGAATGCGTAGCGAAGGGTTCTCGTTTACAAGTGGGGGTCTGGGGGTCTGCGGGTATGGCTTTTTCTTGTGGAAGGGGGTGAGACCTGCATGTGTTCCTTCCACCTTTTACGTAAACACGCGCTGGTTGAAATGCCCAACGGCGCTCGATGCGAGATTCGGGCTGGGAGATTCCAATCCGATGGGCGATCGATCCGATCCGATCCGAATCGGTCGGCAGGACTTCCTATGGCTGGCGGCGGTGGGGTTGTTGGGTTACATGGACCTGGGACTGATGAGCGAGCACCAGCCACCTGGACGAGAACGAAACATGGACAGGGCCCGAATTGTGGCGGGACTCGACTCCCTGCCTTTTTGACGGAAAAGCAGGCACTGCAAAAGGAGGTTCCTCTGAAACAGCCAGTTTTTGATGTGTTACTCTGCAGGGCCCATCTTTTTGGGTAAATGTTGAAACAACCTCACAGGGATGAAACGAGCTCGGGGTTTCAAGTGAACACCGTCGGATGGTAAGGCCTCAAAAAAGATGAGCGGTACAAAACCCATCTTTGAGACTTAGGTGTTGCGAGGCGAGGGATCCGAGCATGTTCTTCCGACATGTTTGGTTCCTTCCAGCCAGTCTTTCCGATCCTTCCGAGAGATGTGTCGGTCTTCTTTTGGAGTTGGTACCCCTTGTTTGGTGGTTTTAAAGCCAAACCACAAAAAGAAACGCCTTTTCTTTTGGAGTTGGCACCCCTTGTTTGGTGGTTTTAAAGCCAACCCACACAAAAAACACCAATGCTTGTGGCTTCCCTTAAAAAGCAGCGCCCCCCAAACGGTCGGGTGGTTGACTGGAGCCCCTCACAAGACTCGGGGCAAGTGGGCTGGCGGACTGCCGGACTGGCTGGAGCTTGAAAGGACCCGCCAAGTTTCAGGGAGAATTTTTTTCGTCTTTGCGACCCACGCCTCTTTCCATTTGTCCGTTTCTTGCCTTCTGCTTTGGCCCGAAAGCCCAGATCTGGCATTTTCCCGTTTTTTACCTGTTGGTTTGGCCCGAAACAGAGGTGCGGGCAGTCTTTGCGACCCAAGCCTGGCATTGTTTCCCATGTTTTGCCTTGTGGTTTGGCCCGAAAAAGATGGTCAAGTGGTCAACCCAACGCAACTTGGATCCCTTCGGAGCGGGAGCCTGCCCCGTTTTGGAGCGACCAGGGTCACAACCCACTCGGTCCGCAGAGCTCGGTCCGTCCGCTGGACCCAGGTACAGTCGACTTGCCTGGGAAGAGCTCAAAGAGGCGGCAAGAAGTTGCCAGCAGTTCGGCTTGGGGAAGGAGTCTCTTAGGCTTTTTTTTTGGGGGGGGGGTTTTGTTTGTTTGTTTGTTTTCATTCTTGTGTTTTTGGAGGGTACCCCTTTTTGGGTTGGTTGAACAGGACGCCAATATAAACACCACCCATGTTTTTAATCACCCATATGTTGACATATATATATATATAGATGACAGATTGACAACCACCTTTGCCAGCTTCCAAGGCGTTTTTGCAGCTCATGTCTCGCTTTTTCAGTTTCCGGGCTCTTCCCAAAACGGGAGGAACCTCGGGAGGCTTCAAAAGGAGATTCCTCTAGACGTTTTGAACGAGGGAACGTGAACTCTTGCGCGGGAATTTTGACTTGCTGGGGGTAAAAGGAGGAATTTTCCGGCCACCACTAAGCTTCTTGCTCAAGTCAGGTTGGCGAGATTTAGTAATTCACTCCCCAAGTGTTTGGACTTCATACTTTTTGGGCAGATGATTTTAATGGTAAACAGTCACTTTTTCCGACCAATGCACGTAGATGTTCTTGGGTTTCCCTTGGGTTTCCCTTGGGTTTCCCTTTGGTTTCCCTTCGGTTTCTCTTCGGCTTCTCTTCGGTTTCCCTTTGTTCCTTTGATTTCCCTTTAAGACCAACCGCAAACAGGGTTGACCCGTTACCATGCTTATGACCTACTTGCTAAGTATCTTGAACACGAGGATGCTAGCCATGATTGTGCTGTGGTGCACGCGATGAGATCCCATGTACTACAACCGCTTAACGTGTACGCCCCCTGAACGCAACACATCCACTCAGGTAACAATCGTCGTTGTGCCTTATTCATTTGTTTTTTGGCCGCGAATTTCGCTCACGGATTTTTGGTTCCCGGCATCCACGGTCTGAAGAGAACAAACGCCCGCGGCTTGCGCCAACGGCAGGCTCTGGACACCAGCAATGAGACCTTGCTCTCGACTGCCAGCCTCTCCCCAGGATGCGAATCGGGGGGGTGGCGGTGGTGATTTTCTGGAGTTGGTACTTGTTCGGAAAGCGGGTTACAACCATGGCCATAAGGGAACTCTTGCCCAAATCCAACCTTGTATATCCTTTTGGTTCCCTGACTTCGTCCATATTAGTCATGGCCCCAAAAGGGTACCCCTTTCATTTCCAGGTCCTCAAGTGAGTTAAGAATATCTGAACTTCCCGCTGGCCTGTTGGTTTTGAAGGAGGATTTGGACACCTGAAGAACAGCAGTCGAAAATAGGCGCCCCCCCCCTCCCCCAAGAAAGAAGGACTGCCAAATTTGGGGCAAACAACATCATCCTGGGAGCAAATGCCACGATGCTAAGATCACCCCTCGCATGCAATCAGCGGTGCCAGGCCAACTCGTCCAGTCAGCAGCGTGAGAGACTCCCCCCCCCCCCCCCCCGCAATAAAAAAGAGCTGCCTTTTTGGGCCAAAAGTCATCCTGGGAATTTTGCTCGCATGCCATCAGCGGTGCCATTTTTTCAGGGACCTCAAACAAATTGGGCAGCGTGAGAGACCAAAAAGGAGCTTACTTAGCCGAGATGTTAACCTCACAGATCCGGTGTTGGAAAAGAACCATGGTTGAAAATAATGGGGAATCACCCCCCTAGAGTTGTGGGATCACTCGAGGTTTCTCCTCACTGTAGAAGGGAATCTCCTCCAAGAAAATGGGGAGGTAGTCTTTGAAAAGCCCTTGTGTTGTTGTATCACAACGGTCATACAATAGCTACCTGGAGTCTCCATGGTTCCTGACCCATTTTTGATTCGGGTCATGGAGACTCCAGGTAGTATCCATGGATGATATAATGCACTTATGTCTATAAGTCTCCGTTCAGTGGGTTATAACCAGGCTTACTAACCACTTACTAAGTACCCTGACCCAAGTGGCATGTGTTTAGGTGTTTAGGTTTAGGTTTTGATTCGTAGGGGAAAGCTTCCAGCTCTCCGGCCTTTCTCCTCCAGGCGAGGACGAGGATCCGGACCCGCGCCGGGGATCAAATGCGGCGGAGGCCAAGGAGCGGCGCCTGCGCTTCGAGAGCGATCTCAGGCAGGGCCGGTGTTCAACCCACGGAATTTCGCGTTTTTTTTCTTCTCTCCCTCCCTTTGTTTATTATTTTGTGTTTTTTTTTTGGGGGGTTCTGTTCATTTTTGCTGTGGGTCTGTGTTTTGGTTTTTAGTTGTTTTCTTTGGTTCTGTTCAATTTTTACTTGGGGGGCTGCGGGGAGAAAAAGAAAAAAACACATACTTTTTGCCACCGTACAGAATCATTTGCCTTTTGAGCAAAACTTTAGTTAGTTTTTCCCTTTTGGGGGGGGGTGAATTTGGCGTGTATGTGGGTCTTAGTCAAGGTTCCATGAGTAGGACCCCTAAAGCAGTTGTCGAATGAAAAGCCTAGAAGGCTCACGGGCCCTTCCAACTTGAAATGAAAGGGTGTTATGGTCATCTATAGCAACACAGGTGCCATTGCCATATCTCGCGAACCCACAGCTCTTGTGGGAAACAGGGATGGGCCACTTGTTGACTTTACGGGGGAATTTCCTTAAAACATGATAAAGTATTCATGCCAAAAGAAATGATTGTCCACCGCCATGTCAGAATCCCGATGGTTTCTGCAGGTTCGGTTGGAAACCCTGGTTTTTTGGAATCTCAGGGGACCCGCAAGGGGCCAACCAAGTTAAAATCCTTGCAAGCCATGAACATATCGGACATTCAAAAGGAACCGCTGGTGCGGGGAGCCAGGGTAAGAAGAGAGAAGGAGTGAATCCTCAGGGAGAACAAGCCAGGCCGCACAAAAAAGAGAAACCGGCCCAGGATTTGAATCAGCGTCAGCTCCTGGCGCGGGCTGAACTGGACGCAGATGCTCCTGAGAGGCGAACCTCGATTTGGGAGACTTGCAAACGGAAGCATTGCAAGATCTCTTCGTCCTTGCAACAGACGTGTCCGGGTCCGCCGGCTGTGCCGATCCAGTTGCAACCTCCGCTGGAGCGCGAGCTCAACAGGTGAGCGCTGGAGCGCGAGCCCTAGCTCCAGCGAGCCAGGAGCTCCACTTGCGGCTGGATCCATTTCGCACCAAGTTGAAACCATAGGAAACCATTGTTTGCTGGTATTTACAGGGGAACCAGTATTGCAGGGTTTCCTTGGTGGTGCAGGATTTCGTCCATCAGTAGGGAGGGGTCCGTAGTTTTCTGAGACCATCTTGCCTGGATGTTCAACCCACTTAAGCAGGTTTTAGCCATGGTTATTGCTGGGATAGCTGAGGTTGGCTGACTTCTAACCATGCTTCTCACCCACTCACTAAGTAGGTTGAACATAAGGTGAGAGAACCGCTGAAAACAAAGAGAGCATTTCCGTGTCTCGGGAGACTTTGCATGAATCGACAATTGCTTGATTCCTGGGTTGGATCTGACTTCAACTTCGGGACATCGTTTTTCCGAATTGAACCCACAAAAAGTGAACCACTTTTTGCAGGGTCCTTGCAACCAGGCTTTGGTCTGATCGCCTAGGCAGCAGTGCCTTCGCCGAAGTCCAAGAAACCAACATGATCCTGGATTCCGACGGCCCAACAAGAACCCCGAATTTGGGCCCGGTGCTTCCCGATTCCCGCGAGCAGGCCACCATAGGTAGGTAACCCTCGGAGAGTGTGTGTAGGTTTTACATCATGGTTGGACACCGCATGGTTCCCTACTAGAGTGGCTTCTCGCGCATGGAAGCACTGGGTTAACAAATCGCCTTTGCCAGCTTATGATCTGCCTTATGTGTGTATCCCCGAAGGAACCCAGTCACTTTGAATGGGATGCCTTGGATGGTTGCGAAATCCATTTCGCACCACCTAAGAACCCCTGGAATGATTTGATTCCCTTGCAAATACCAACAAGCAATGGTTTCCTATGGTTTCAATTTGGTGCGAAATGGATTTTGTCCGTCCACGGTATCACCCTTTGGGAGCGGGGATCAAGGCTTTCCGAAGGGATGGCAGCAGCGGATTGTTGCACCCCGGAGTTAGAAGCACGAAGCTTGGGTGTTCGATTCGCCAGGTTAGGAAGTTGTAACGGTAACCTGCTCTGGATGGGTGCGAAATCCATTAAACACACCACCAAACTCAGAAACCAGCCGATTTCTGATTGGATTCGCCCTGTAAATACCAACACACGTTGTGGTGTCAACCATGGCTTTGGTGGGTGGTGCGATTGGATTTCGCAACTATCCATTGGTTTGATCTCAACCGTGGCCCTACCGTAGGTGGACGAATAATTAAATCAAACCCTTACAGTTGTAACGCCCCCCCTCAACCCCCCAATTTCAATGTTATTACCCGTTTGGAGGGTCGGGCTGGGTGGACAAATCTAATCAAACCCCAATGACATGATTGATTAATTTGTCCATCTACTGTCTGGGCAGGTAGTTTTTCAGTGTTTTGCTTGGCAAGATGAAAGCATGTCTTCTCCTAGAAACATCTGCTTGTCTTCCGTGCAAAGCCATTTGCTTGCGCAATGTCCTCACTTCACTCTCAGAAAAATATGCTTATCTTTCGCGTTTCTCTATTGCTTTTGTCTTATCAAGGTGAAATAATGTCTTTTAGTCAGTTGCAGAATTGGTGGCTACGCGCATATATTTGACCCTGCGCACGTTCATTTTGCACTTCCTAATCCGCGGGTGCTTGTGTTTTTCAGTTCCAAACCTGCCAGTGGTCAAATTCCTTTTCCAGTTCCTAATCCCCGGTTGTTCGAATTCCTCGAGTTTTTCCAGTTCCTAATCCCCGGTTGTTCGAATTCCTCAAGTTTTTTCCAGTTCCTAATCCCCGGTTGTTCGAATTCCTGGAGTTTGTCCAGTTCCTACTCCCCTGTTGTTCGAATTACTCGAGTTTTTCCAGTTCCTAATCCCCGGTTGTTCGAATGGCCTGGAGTTTTTTCGTTCCTAATCCCCGGATGTGCGAATTACTCGAGTTTTTCCAGTTCCTAATTGCCGTCCCAGTTCCTTTCCAGTTCCTTTTCAAGTTCCTGTTCCTTTTCCAGTTCCTAATTGGGATTTGCTGTGTTTTCTCAGTCATCCCAAGTTGCTTAGAATAAAACAGAAACACATACTTTTCCTTTTTCTTTAAATGAATCCATGGTCAAGAAGCAATTGCTGAGAAGAACTCGAGGAATTTGACCACCCGCAGGTTTGGAACTGGAAAACTCAACCACCCACGGATTAGGAAGTGCAAAAGCTCGAGGAACACCACGCAGATTTCAACAGACGCCTTTTTCAAAATGAACGCGCGCAGGGTCAAATAGTATGCGCGTAGCCACCAGTTCTGGAACCGAAGGGCTGCCGTAGCGTAGGTGGACCAATTAATCAAACCCTTACTTGCAGTTGTAACGCCCCCCTCGACCCCCAATTTCAATGTTATTGCCCGTTTGGAGGGTCGGGCTGGGTGGACAAATTAAATCAAACCCCGATGACATGAAAAGCGCTTGTGTTTGGTGTAACATTGACATTGGGGGGTACGGGGGACCCCCTAATTTTTTTTTAAAATATTTTTTTTGGTTAGGGTTTAGTGGCACTGTGGATGGACGAAATCCAGCACCACTGGAGAAACCCCGGAATAAGGACTTCCGATTTTGCCTGGAGATCCTTCGAACCAATCTCCTGAAATTGGCGAGGTGCGTGTCCCTGGTCCATGCCTTCCGTGCGTTGAAGCCCATGGAGGGATTGCTGTGCGGGTTTTGCCCTCGGACGACCGGACGACCGGACGAACTTTCCACTTTTTCCCGATTTCGATAGGCTGACGCTCTACAAGCACTGGACGTTGGAAGAGTCGATGATGCATAGCGCTTTGGCGAGATGAGTTGATACGCATGGAGTCTCCCTCCCTCAACCATCGGGTGATGTTCATGCGACAGATGGCACACGTCCAACTCATTTTGGTTTATCCCGTTTAACCAACCCACAAAACGGGATCAACCCATTTTGGTTTAGTCCTCTTTGCCCACAGAATGGTATTTTGTGTGTCAGTTTGCACCCCAAAAGTTATGGAAACTCCAGGTTGCGAGTGCCCCAGATCCGCAGGTCACTATGTCAGCTTTACCCACCCAGACAACTCTCTAGAACTGCGAGCCCCGCCAGGGTCAATGGACTGACTTGACTTGGGGTTTCTCACCTGTTCACTTTCCCAACTTTCAGCCAAGTTCCTCTTTCTCAACCTCTGATTTCGGTTTTTCCCCACCAATCCGTCACTTGGGTGTTCAAGCTAGTGGGTTGTAACAATGATAAGGGCACTAGCCCCAGTTACCAACCAATTCCCATGGTCACAACCTACCGAGACCAAGATAGCTGAACACCCAAGTCCCCCCCCCAAAAAACAAGAAGAAGAAGAAGAAGACGAGAGTGAATTCCGTTTAGCTTCCCTGTAAGTCCAGCCAAAAACGGGGGGGGGGGGGGTTACAACCTCCTTGCGCTGGATGAGAGCACATCCAAGGCACACCTCTACTTTTTTGGAATCCCTAAAGGGGTAGGGGGGGGTGGTGGAGAGCCCGGAAACGGGTTCACCAAAAAGGGCCTACTTGGGCTGTTTGAACACTTCTCCAAGGGACAAATTTCTAGTCGGAAACTCAACCACACCGCTGACTTCGGTTCTTCCCAACCAATCCGAAACAAGGATGAGGGGACTGGCCCCAGGTTGTTAACCACTTCCCATGGTTATGACCTACTAAGTTCGTTGAACATCCAAGTCCCCCCCCAAAAAACAAAATCAAATCAAACAACAAGTCAAACAACAAACAAACAAACAAAGACACACCACGTCTCATCCAAGCACCGGGCCCATGTTCTACCTTTCGCACACACGCTTTTTCCTCGCGTAGGATATTTTTTTCCCCTTCCCCAGAAAGTCCCCGAAACCCGCCGCCCCCGCCCCCGATCGACCCGATCGAGGCGCCTACGTCTACGGCACCTTGGAGCTGCACCGGGACACGGGGCTGAGGACCTTGAAGTCCTTCTTCGCCAAGTGCGGGCTCGTGCCCAGCGCCTCGTCGAAAACGCCTCGTCTTCGCCTCGTCTTCGCCTCGGGAAGTTCGCCGGAAAAAGCGGGGGGGCTGGGGGTGGGTCTTCTCACCGAACAGCTTGGGGGGAAGCAACAAATCGCTGGGGCCCGGCGGATGGTCCGGTTCCTGAGGTTTTTCAGGTTTTTGGGGCGGCATGTCCAAGTACCTCCCTCTTTGAAGGGGCGCCAAAAGGAAGGGGCTCCGAGTCCGGAAAGAAAGACGACGGGCCACCCGGCCACCCCACCTGCCACCCTTGGAAAGGGTGAAGGGTTCCGGTATGGACCGATTCACCCAAGAAGGACCGCCCAACGAAACTCCGAAGACCCGCTTACGTAGGTTGAACGCCCAAGCTCCGGGTGGTTCTCAAAAAGGGGGCCCTTTTCTCTTCCTCTTACTCTAGTTGACCAGCCGTCTGGTTCCTTGGTGTTTTTTGTTTTGTTTTTAGTTGGTGTGCAGGCTGGGTTTCCATTTCGCCCGTTGAACGCTATTCACTTTTAGGGGATCTGAGAGCCCAGTGAAATCGGAACCGGTTCTCTAAATGCTTGCGTTGACTCAGAAAAACGTGGAACCCACAGAACCCACCCATGTTGAGGATATCCTTTTGGGGCATGGACCCCCCTTCTGGGGTTCCATGTAGTTAAAAATGTGTAGGGGAGTAACATTGTGACCAGGGTGGAGGGGGGTTGTCGCTCTTCAAAGGGAACTCTCGAAAGTCTGGTTTTTCTTGGTTTCCCCGAAAAAGTCAAGCCCAGCATGGGGACCATGCCACAAAAACAGACGGGCCACTCTGTTTTCGCAGGGCACCGTTTTTCGGGTTGGTTGAAAGGGGAAGCCACAGGGAAAACCACCAATTGTTCTGGTCACTACTTGAACACCAATAGCGGACCACCCTTTGGTAAACATGGTTTCGGGGTTTCTTTTGGTTTCCTCTTGAAAACCCACAGATGTGCAACAGAATCACCGAACTCCAGGCACTCCGGGGCGAACTAGGGACCCCGGGGAAAAGTTTTTGTTCGCGCCTCGCTGGGAGCTGAGGCGACTACACCCAGGTCTTCCGGCACATGAGTCCGCCTTTGCGGAACTCCTTGCGCCAGATCTTCACAGAGCACGGGAAGGCCGGTGCGGGGCCCGCCTCGAAGGCTTGTCGGGGGGGGGGGGGGGAGAAAAACGTTTCGGGAGAACTGTTCCGTGCCATTTTGGAGCGGGTGTCCATTTTACCCCCCAAAAGTCATTCACTTTTCGTGCATCTGAGGACATCCCATGCATTCCACATGAGCAGTCGGGACTTGGACACCCAAGGAGGGAGAACCAATGAAGCCATGGCGTTCCCAAAGAGCTAAGTTTGGGATGGCTTCTACTTCAGCGTTGACTCGCACCATGTGAGGTTCATCTAAGCCCAGGGGTTCAAACCACCGTTGAAACAAAGGTTGGGTTCATACAACCACCATCTACCTAAGGATTGTCATTACCACTATATTATCCTTCCTGATATATTTATCTTGTTTTAACGTTTGAGCCGTTTCTGATTCTATGTTTGCCACTACAATTGTGATAATAACAAGTCTTACAGTTTTCAAAATCCTGTTTTCTATACAAGTTATATTCCAATATTTGTTTAGCATCAAATGCGCATTCTTTCTCAACACATTTTCTGCATCCAAATTGGGTTGTTGTCTTTCTTTTGGGGGTTGGATTTCAGGCGAAGTCCTCTCCTGGAGAATTCCTAGGCTTGGACCCCAGAGAATTTGCGAGTTTCGCGGACTCGCAGCCCCCAAAGAACCTTTTGGGGGACGCTTGTTTTTTCAGAGGGGTTGGTGCCAATGCCAGAGTCTCCTGGGGCAGCTCCTGGCCCCCTTGAAGGTTTTTCATACGTGGAAGAAGTAGGCGGTAGCCATGAGGAAAGGCAAGAACCCCCCCCCCCCCCCCCACGTCCCCCCCCGCTCCGTTCCCGCTTGGTTATAAGCTACTTCCTAAGCCTTGCTTGCTTGTAACCTTGGGGAAAAGCTACTTACTAAGCTGGGTGAGCATCCGAAGCAGGGAGTCTGTTTGTCTTGACACATATCCATGTAAGAGGTTGACATGAAAAGGGGGTACCTGTTCGGAAGCTTGGTGAGGGTCGCTCTTGTGTCTATCCCTCGTGTGACCTCAACAGCATCAACTCCCTGGAGATGTCCCAGAAAGGAGTCTCCTTGACATGGTCAATCCCACAAGTACATACAAAGTCAATTTCACATGTATTCATGGTTGTAACCTACTTTCTGTGGACGGACCAAATTCACTTCGCACCAGTTGGGATGACTGAGACAAACCAACTGCAGGATTTTGTCCATCCTCAGTGACCCGCAGCCAGGGGGTTCTACTTGGAATTCCGGGTTCCCAGTAGGTTGAACACCCAGCAGTTGTTTTTTCTTTTCTTTTTTGGTCTTGTTTTTCGTTTTTTTTAAACAACCCGTATAGAACCCCAGTGATATTGATGAAACAACAAGCCCAACACCCCACAATTGTTGTGTTTTCAACAACAACCCTTATAGAAACCCAATGGTTTTGATTTTCACACGCAAGCCCAGGTGGTATCGGGACACAACGGCCCCGGAACCGCAGAAAGGAACGGCTCCAAACCACATCGACCCCTTAGCTTTGAACTGGGGAAAAGAGCGCTCGTCCATGGGGGCCACGCTGACCCCTCTTGGGACCTGTCGGACGGAGAAGCGCGTCGGTTCAGGAGTTCGGGTTTACGGAGACCCGGGTCTTCCTGGATCAGTTCGTGCAGGAGGGAGGCTGTGGGTGTTTGCTGGGTTTTTACCGGGGTTTTACGGGGTTTTAGTGAGGTTTACTGGGTTTTAATGGGTGTTGCTGGGTTTTTGCTGGGTCGGTTTTACAAGGTTTGAATGGAGTTGACAGGGTCTTACTTGGAGTTGCTGTCTTTTAGTGGGGTTTACTGGGTTTTACTGGCTTATAGTGGGCCTAACAGGGTTTTGCTGGGTTTTAGTGGGGCTGGCAGGGCTTTGCTGGGTTTCAAAAAAACCCGTGGACACCATTTTTTGGGGCTCCGATTTTCCCGAGCAAAACATACTACCCCCTGGATTTTTGGCTTTCAACCACGGTACCCCTGGGTTTTTGGGGCTTTAAAGGGACAGCAATGGAACACCATTTTTTTGCGCGCGGGAGTCGGAATGGAGACGAGTGAGGACCTGGGCATCGTGCAGCAGGAGAACTTTCTTCAGCCGCAGTTCAGTTCCTCAGATGTGGCGCCCTGGACGGACGAAACCAAAACCGACCGTTCTTTTTGCCTGAGCGAGAGTGCGTGTGAAAGCTCTCAATATGTGTGAAAGACGTCTTGTTGTGGAGTTGGCATCCCTTCAATATGGGCGGCTCGCCCCGTTTTGTGGAGTTTGCATCCCTTTTGGGGTTGGCTTGACAATTTTGAGGGTCCGATTCCTTAAAAAAGACTCACCCATATGTTCAGGGACTTGAAAAGGCGGGTTCCAAGAAAAGGGTTCAGCTCGATCGCAAGCGCGCCACAGGATCATGTGTGTAGCTGAAAGGAAGCAGTTGTGAAAACCAAGTAGGCCTACTTAGGGTCACACAAAGAGAGACTTCACGAATCGATTCGTGGGGCTGGAGACAAACCTAGGTCCACATGCAACTTCCGCTCCGCATGGGGATCTGGTCTTCCAAGCCTTTTGAAACCGAGTTCCCGAACTTGAGCATTGACTTTGCGTGTACGTTGTTGCTTGACACCCAGCTTTGTTTCCCATGAAACCTAGCAAATCCCCAGATGTTCGGGCAACCACTAGTGGCTTTGGAGCCCAGGTGGTTTGGACTTGCATTTGAAAAAACCCGGTTCTTGTGGGCCAAATGGGACGGCTCCTAACCGCCAAACCACCGGGTGGGTTCCCAAGCCACCCCGTTTTGAGGGAAGCGGAGATTTCGTGGTTTGATTTGGGCCCGGTGTCCCTCGGCCAAAGAGAGCCCGAATTCGCGGCTCGCTGTTTTTCCCCAACAAGAAAAACGGCTCGCTTCCCGCGGTTGGTTTCCTGATGGGCGTTTTCTCCCAGGCGTGCTGGGCCCCGAAGCATTGGCTTGATTATCAGACAAACCCCGCGGTTTTCTGGTGAGTCCTGGTGTTTTTTTTTGCCTCCTTTGTCTTTCTGGTGCGATAGGTAGGGCATGAGTTGGAATGAACCGTTTTGGGGATTCCCTTAAAGGAAACCACCAGTTGGATGCTTTAGTTTGGGGTGATTCCACGCTACTCATTTGCCTATCGCAGCAAGAAAATGAAGATGCTTGATGGCTAGGTTGAACTAGCTCCCTTCTCTAGGGCCGGCTTACTCCCACAGCCACGGGGGGGCAAGGAACCCGAACCCTTTGGCTCCGCCACGAGCAAGAGCACATGAACCGTAGTACCGTTCAGTTTTCGTGGGGGCAAGGAATAGGGCTCCGCCACGACCTCAAATTTGCGGAAAGAAAAGCCCAAGGCTGTGATCACGCCGCCACCTCTCTGGCAGGGGTCATTCCAAATCTCATTCCCTGCATCTCTCGCTCCAACAAGTTAAATCGCCACCACCTCAACATTTGCGGAAACCAAGAAAAAATCCTAAGGGCTTGACTCACCAGAAGGTAAAAAAAGCGGAGAGGTCCACCTCCTGCAAGCCATGCTCTGCAGCAGCAGCTTCGCCACAGTGCCGCAGCTCCCCGATGGGCGCAAGGACCCACAAATTGACATCTCAGTTGTTCAAAACGAATCGACCTTTTGCCTTTCAGTTTTCCCTTTTTGGTCGATTTTTAGTAGAGGTCCGAAGGATTCACCTTGTATTTCCAGTATTCACCTTGTATTTGCAGTGAGAAGTGTGTTACTAACGCATGGCTGTGCTTAGTAGTCTCCAAACCTTTGACCTGGGGTAGTCTGACGGTTCTCACAGCAACCACTGCGAAGGGTGTGCAATTCATCGACTATTGATGAGCAACACCCGTAACGGAACCCACCTCCAAGCTCTAAACAAAGCAACCCCGGCCATGCCCGGCAAGTTTATACTTCGGATGGCAAATAATTTTGTTTGTTGTCGCAGCTTTCATTTTTCTTGTCTGCGCTTTGCATCGAAATGGTGCCCAAACAGATATAGCGTGATGCTTAATGAGTTTTCGTCTGGATTTCCAGAAATACGCGCCAGTTGACACTTAATGAGTTTTGTTGATGCCTCACCCATCTTGAATGTGCCTTTTCCATCTCGCCAACTTGCTTTCCGTCAAGGTTTTGACGCTGCATGAGACCCTCAGAGCCTCAGTCCCCTGCCTGGTGGCTCTTGATCTTGTAGCCCCCCCTTCCCCCAGTCTCCAGAGAAGGTGCCAAGCACCGAGCCCTTTTGCCAAGCAACAAAAACCTACGTCCCGCCGCGGGGTATATCTCGTAGCCTTTTCGGCTATGAATTTTCGTAGGGAGCCACCTAAAAAGTGATTGGACATGATGTTTTAGCGAATTCTGATGTCCACCATTTCGTGCCCCTTATTGAAATCTCAGTTGCCCAAAGAGGATCGACCTGAAATGACCTTTTAGTTCTCTCCCTTTCGAGTCATGGCCCCAAAAGGTGATCACCTTTTATTTCTGGGTCACTCAAGGGCAACTGAGAAATTCATGTCCAATGTTGAGACCACTAAGCAAACCACTTGTGTCTCTGTGTGTTTTTGGGGCTGGAGGGGTATCTCATCTATTTGAGACCACTTCCGCGTCAACCAGTCACGGGGCTTCGTCTTCGAGGACCTGGAGGCCATCGAGAGACTGGAGAAGGAGGACATGTGGAACAACTTCTACCGGGCCTTCGATTTGGCCCTTCGGCCAACCGGCCGGGGAAGCCGCGTGGCGTTCTTTCGTTTTTTTTTTGGTGCGCCGAGTTTTCGTGCGTTTTTTTCTTCCTTCTTCTTTTTTTCCCCCCCCCGGCCGAGTGGTTGAGGTCGCGGGGTGCGAAAAGACTGGAGAAATTCGATGGGATGGTCTCCAAAAAGAAAGCCCGATGCTCCGAAAAGAGTTTGTTAGATGAGCGGTGGGAAACTGGGGAGGGGTCGACCGGATGGCCGCTCGCCAAAAGAGCCCCCTGAAAGCGGTGTCGTGGTCCTCTCACTTTCCCAGAAAAGTCCCACACGTTTTATGTGAGGGCTTCCTCACGGCGGTGATCCCAATGGAGGGTCCAGGGTCCAGAGATGGGCATGTGCTGCGAACAGACATGGGGGTGTCTTGGAATAAGGACCCCCCAACATGGCTTCGGTTTCCTTTGGGTTCCACTTTAGAACTCGACACGTGGGTAATTACCAACTCCAAAGACGAGCCGCCCACATCAGGATACAAAGCCTCGCTCGTTTTCCCGGATCTTAGGAGCGGATCTGATGGATCCGGAAGACGGGTAACCACCGTGGTTTGGCTTTTTCGGTTTGGAGGAACCGCAAAGGAGCAGCTTGAAAACGGATGGCTGCCTAGTGTGCGTTTTTCGAACCATGGTCGATTTGCAAGAAGGAGGTAACCCCGAGTTGGTTTGGATTGGGGGCCTTGAACCCTGGAGGGGACATAGGAAACCACTCAACCACCGGGCTCCAAACCAATAAGGAGAAGCTGAAAGGCGTCACATCCAAGAGAAGCCGCATGTGTTGCTTCGCCGAAAACACGAGATGCTGCTGGTTCAGCGTTCAGTGCACTCCGAGCGCGAGAGATGTTCCTCAATGGCTATGTGTGGGGTATCCTGAGAGTGGGGAAGAGCACTAATGTTCACCTGGACCCCTTGGTGGTTTTTTGGTTTGGTGGCAATGTGTAAGGAAATTAAGGCTTTCAAGATGGCTTCCCTCGTGAGACCGTAGGCTCATGCTGGCTGCCTTTCAATGGAACACATCCGGAAAGGGGTTCCCTATTTGGACGGTCTTGGTACGTGTCCCATGCGGCTTTGGGCTTTGCATTCCAAGGCTCCCTCTCTCAGTTTCCCGATTGAAAGTCATCAACGTCCATGTTGAAGATAGCTTTCTCTTTCCGCCAATTCATCGGAATTTCTTTCTCGCTGCTTCGTCCAGCTGACCCCACGAACGTGCGGACCATTTCTGACATTTTCCCACAACGACTCGCGGTGTGGATAACTCAGAGAGCATCAAATATGTTTTGTCATGTTTACCCTTTCGCGTCTATTTACCATCTTTGCCCAGGACCGATGAGTAGGCTGCTGCTGGAACCCCAAAACCTATAAGGTCAGGCCAACTACCCCAGCTGGTCCGATGCAAGAAACCCGGGCCCGTCCAGTTCCGAAGCCTGCTGGCGATATCCTTTCGAGGTGCTGTGCGACGACCCGAGCTTGCTCCGTGAGGGCATCCTCGAATCTGTGGAGCTTTCGAAGGCCTTTTTCCGCTTTGGGCGAAGCGGATGGATGAAAGCCTGTGGTTGTCGGGTGTTTGCTTTGTCGAGCCCATATTCGTCAACCCCAGTTTATTGACAGTGGGTGAGAGGTGGGGAATCAGACCACGTTTGGAGGGGCCCCACTTCCCTATTCATAAACTGGGGTTGATCAATATGGGGTCAACATAATTATGGCTATTTGGTAACGGTTTCTTTGGTTACTTTTAACTTTTTGGTTCGTGTGGAGTTTCCGTATTGGACCCACAAGAAGATATAGCAACCGAGTTTGAGCATGGGTGCCCTGTTTAGACTGCTTTGTTCTGACATAGATAGGTTCCACTGGTTTGGATGGGCTTTCAAGGTCGCCTCTTCCCTTTGGCTGGGTTTTGTTGGGGTATTATTAAACGAGGCGCCTCGTGATCATGTACTTAGTCTTGATCGCAAAACAAAACGCCAAATGGAGGTGTCCAAGTTGCCAGTTTGCAATTCGATTTTTTTGGTTGAAATGAGCTTGATGCTGTGGATGGTTAGGGAATCCATTTCGCACCACCGTTAAGAAACCCTGGTTTCCGATGATTCCCCAGTAAATACCAACAAACAGTGGTTTTGTGGTGCAGGGTTTTGTCCATCCACAGTAGTGTAAGCATACCGTCAGGCTGTTATCACGCGCTGGCACTAGATTATCATGCGAGAATATACAGTTGACTCCGTCCCGGCGCGAAGAGGATCTTGCCAATCAGTTCGGCACCCCTATTTTCTAGGGAATTGTTTTCCAGTTTTTTGGTGTATTTTTTTCCGGTCAGGTCAGCAAGCAAGCCAGCAAGCCAGCAAGCAAGCAAGCCAGCAAGCAAGCAGGCAAGCAAGCCAGCAAGCAAGCAAGCCAGCAAGCAAGCAGGCAAGCAAGCAAACAAGCAAGCCAGCAAGCAAGCAAGCCAGCAAGCAAGCAAACAAGCAAGCCAGCAAGTTGGCAAGCAAGCAAGCAAGCAAGCAAACAAGCAAACAAGCAAGCCAGCAAGTTGGCAAGCAAGCAAGCAAGCAAGCAAGCAAACAGGCAAGCAAGCAAGCAAGCAAGCAAGCAAACAGGCAAGCAAGCAGGCAAGCAAGCAAGCGAGCAAGCAAGCAAGCAAGCAAGCAAGCAGGCAAGCAAGCACGGGCCCAAGCAAGCAAGCAAGCAAGCGAGCGAGCGAGCAAGCAAGCAAGCAAGCAAGCAAGCAAGCAAGCAAGCACGGTCCCAAGCAAGCAAGCAAGCCAGCCAGCCACATTTTTCGGTGCCAACGCAATCTGAGCCATGCGACCGCCCCATACGACAGCATTTGCGTAGAAACACCACCCTAAACCAACCCTAAACCCACACTCCTAAACCCACCCTAAAGCAATCTTAAACCAACCCTAAACCAGCCCTAAACCAACCCTAGACCCACCTTAAACCAACCCTAAGCCAACCCTAAACCCACCCTAGGCCCACTCTAAGCCCACCCTAAACCAACCCTAAACCCACCCTAAACCCACACTAAAAAAGCCAACCCCAAACCAACCCTGAACCCACCCTAAACCCAACCCCAAACCAGCCCTAGACCCACCCTAAACCCACCCTAAGCCAAACCCACCCTAAACCCACCCTAGGCCCACCCTAAGCCCACCCTAAACCAACCCTAAACCCACCCTAAACCCACACTAAAAAAGCCAACCCCAAACCAACCCTGAACCCACCCTAAACCCAACCCCAAACCAGCCCTAGGACCCACCCTAAACCCAAACCCACCCCAAACCCACCCTAAACCAGCTCCAAACCAACCCTAACCCACCCTAAGCCAACCCTAAACCCACCCTAAACCAACCCCCTAAACCCACCCTAAACCCACCCTAAACCCACCCTAAACCAACCCTAAACCCACCTTAAACCCACCCTAAACCAACCCTAAACCCACCCCAAACCAATCCTAAACCCAGCCCAAACCCACCCTACACCCACCTTAAACCAACCTAATCCAACCCTAAACCCACCCAAAACCCACCTTAAACCCACACCAAACCAGCCCTGAACCAACCCTAAACCAACCCTAAACCCACCCTAAACAAACCCTAAACCCACCCTAAACCCACCCCAAACCCACCCTAAGCCAGCCCTAAACCCACCCTAAACCCAACCCTAAACCAACCTAAACCAACCCTGAACCCACCCCAAACCCACCCAAACCAACCCTAACCCACCCTAAGCCAACCCCAAACCAACCCTGAACCCACCCTGAACCCACCCTAAAACCCACCCTAAACCCACCCTAAACCAACCCTAAACCCACCCTAAACCAACCCTCAACCCCCCTGAGCCTACCCAAACCCACCCCGTGCGACCGTCTTGCTCCTGCTGTGGCGCCCTGCAAATGGTACTCGCAAAATGTTCTTTGGAAATTGTTTCGTGGCTCGCAGGCGGGCGGCTTTCGCAATCCTGCTGTTGCGGGCCCCCTGGTCCGCGGCACCGGCAGGACTTGCGCAGAGCAACTTTCGTTTCAACGAATTGCATAGAAAACTTGCACTTGCGCAGAGCAATTTGCACAGACCAACTTGCACAGATTCAAGCAGGGGAGCTATCTTGCGCAGAGCTAAGATACACGAGCCTGCTTTACAGAAAAATATGTTTTCTTACAACATAGCGATTTTTGTGACCACAATGGAGCCAAGATGCACAGAGCCAAAATGCACAGAGTCAAACCCACCCTAAACCAACCCTAAACCCACCTTAAACCCACCCTAAACCAACCCTAAACCCACCCCAAACCAATCCTAAACCCAGCCCAAACCCACCCTACACCCACCTTAAACCAACCCTGAGCCAACCCTAAACCCACCCTAAACCCACCTTAAACCCACCCCAAACCAGCCCTGAACCAACCCTAAACCAACCCTAAACCCACCCTAAACCAACCCTAAACCCACCCTAAACCCACCCCAAACCCACCCGAAGCCAGCCCTAAACCAGCCCTACACCAGCCCTAAACCCACCCTAAACCCAACCCTAAACCAACCCTAAACCAACCCTGAACCCACCCTAAACCCACCCTAAATCTAAATGGGCCCTAAACATCCCTAAGCCAACCCTAGAGCCCCAAACCACAAGATCTGCAGTGTAAGCCTCTACAAAAGGGAAACTGGAAAAAAATACACCAAAATACTGGAAAACAATTCCCTGAAAGACAAAACCACCAATCAGTTCCCCCATTTTGGGGGTGCGAGGTTCCCAAACCCTTGCCAGGCTTGGCCAGCCTCGTTCAGGCCTTTTTGGCCTTTTCTTGGTTTCCATACGTGAGTATCTTTTGAGGCTACCCTTTTGCAGCGGTGAAAAAAGGGAAACCGAAAGGAAACAAGAAATTCTTTGGGGTCCCCTTTCTAAAGGCACATCCATATCCCGGTCTCCCCATCCCATTTTTCTAATCCCCTTCACATGGCTGACCAGTGTGACCCCGAAAGGCCCCCGTCAGGTGAACGACTTTTTTGCGGGAAGAGCTAAGGCCATCGGTCGTTTCGCATAAGAAAAAACGCAGTTCCCTTGAGTTAAGAAGGTCTTCCAGAAAGATTCGGATCCCCAGAAATGATGTGCGTCTGCCTTTTTTTGAGGGTACCCTTTTGGGGCTCATAAAGACCCGTTCGATCCACCCCCATTCCCCCCCTTGGAGGTATACAATGCACGCTTGTCAGCCAAAAAGGGAGGGGGAAGAGCAAAATCACTGCCCAGGCTTTCACTTCCATTGTTGGGGGCACAAACCTGGTTTTGAATGGGGCAACAGGAGTAAGTCCTCTTCGAACCGTGGTTATGACCTACTCTTGGGTCTCCTCCCAATTTTAAAGTAAGCAAAATATTGCGCAGACCCAGTGGATCTTAGCTACCGCTCTGCTAGGTAGCCAGGAAATTTCAGATTGTTTTTATATCGGGTGGCAAGCCCTTGGTTACCTGCAAACCCAGGTAAACGGATCTGGGAGAATCAATACCTCGGATGTTCCGCGCCTACTGAGTCGGTGCGAGGCCGTCCAGAGTTTGGCGCGGCAGATTCGGGATACCAAGGCCATGAAGGCGGGGTTTCTTCTGGTATGTGCCAAGAATAGGCCCAGCGCTTCCAGGGCAGGCGTTTCGCCACTATAGTAGGTAGCCAGGGGGAATGATCATGTACAACCTACAGGTAAGAAATATCGAAGGGTTACCTACTAGACCGGCAACTGGAAGCACTGAGAGGGATTTGGGCCGCGAAAATGGCGCGGTTTTCCTTTTGGCTTCCCCAAAGATTACCTAACAAAGGGTACCCTCAAACTTTTAGTTTCTTTTCAGATGACCTGAAGAGTGCCCTCAAGAAAAGAGTTGGTGTCGTGGCTGAAGGTGTGGTGGGGAATTCGGGATGAGGGGGTTTGGGTGATTGGGGGCTGCGGCAGGGTGGGGGGTGGTTGGCTAGGGAATTTGGAAGTTGGTGCGGGGGAGTTGGGGGGGGGCGAGGGGAGGAGAGTTGGGGGAGGTGGTTTGAAGCATCATCTTTTTGGCTCGTAGGTGCGTCTCCTGTGGCAGGGGTATTTTGCGGCAAAATTATTTTAGTGAACCTTGGGGTGAAGCTGGGTTTACCTGCTAGGCCAGGCCCTGTATTAGAGAAATAGGGTGCTTCCAACCACCAAACACTGGATTGATTTGATCAACCTAGTACTTCACTGTTCTTGGCAAGTTTTTGTTGTTTTTACTGGGGGGGGGGCTGCAAGAAGCCACGTTTTTTGCTACCATACCAACGAACCATCAAAATTCTGGAAATGGAGGGTTTCACAAGTTCTACACTTTATAAGGAGTCCTTTATAAAGGCTCCTTTAAAAGAAAGCTTTCCAAGGAAGCTTTATAAGACCTTTATAAAGAAGCCTTTATAAGAGCCTGTAGAAGCAAGTGTAGAGAATGTAAAACCCTCAAAACCCTGCAAATGGAAGGCTTCACAAGTTCTACACTTTATAAGGATTCCTTTATAAAGGCAGATTGTCGAGTAATTAGTAGATAGATGCAGGCAGATTGACCCCTGCTACCCCAGAGCTACATGGATGGCAACTGGAAGCACTGGGTGATGTCTCAACCACTTCAAGGGGAAACATGAGGAACCCTTTGGGACCCAGACCGCCCCCGTCGTGGCTCCTGTTGCCAAACCGACGTGGCAGGCCACGCGGAAGTTCAGATGGTGCCGCATCGACCAGCCGGGCCTCGTGTTCCGGCGGCCCCTGGCGGTCCGGAAGCTCGCGGGAAGCTCGGAGAGTGGCGAGAGATGCGAGAGATGCGAGAGGCGAGTGATCCAGAAAGCTTTCCGTTTTTGTTTTTTCCCTTTCCGGCCCAAAGGAAGCCAAAAAGGTAACATCATGGTAACATGAAGGTGATCCGGAAGGCTTTCTTGTTGTTTCGTCCAAAAGGAAGCCAAAAGGTCAAAATCATCGTGGACTGTTTTGTTTTTTCGTCCAACAAGGACAGCAAAAAGGGGTCGTAAAAGTGTCCAGGGTGTTCGGCGGCCGGTCAGCCAAGCACTGACCTCACCTTTCAGGCTTACCCAGGCAGTGATTATGTATTTGATGTCATGCCAACAGCTTTTGGCCCGCTCTTTTCGTGCCACAATCTTTGTTGGCTTGCCACTCTCCGGCCTTTTACTTGGACACTCAAAAATTTGGCTTGAGCGGCCAAACAGGTGAGCTAAGTCCGATAAGAAGCGTCTCGGCTTTTGGTTTCGAGCCACGCGTGCTAAACAGGGGCGGGGCGCTTGGAAAAGTGAAAGGAACAAAGAAAACCCAGCGCCCGCCAACAACTGTTTTGTTCCCATGTTCAAAATCCCAAGTACTGTCCAACAAGCAGTGGTTGGGACCCGGGTGCTGGTACCCTGTTTTCCTTTTGGACGACAACAAAATGGCAGTGGTTGAAAGGAACACCAAAACCCTGTCTTGCATGCGCGGACGGATTTGTGTGGCCGGATTGTGCTTTGACATGGTTTGTTCAGGTGCTCAAATTGACTGGATGGCACCGCCAGAGGTCCAAGAGACAAATTGGAGCTGCCTAGACTCTCCATGACCCTTTAAATTAAACATGAGACTCCAGGACCTCATGATTTTGGGCAATGACCCCATTTTCTACCTGGAGTCTCCATGACCCTTAAAAAATGGGGTCATTACCTAAAATAATGGGGTCATTGACCCATTTTTTAAGGGTCATGGAGACTCCAGGTGGACTGCCGCTTTTTGCCGCGGATCGGATCGGATCTTGCGAAAACGCTTCCGAGGCCATGTGGCTGTCGCAGACCAACTTCACCTTCCGGCCCTCACGGGGCGCTGAGCTCGAGCGGCCACTGCTGGTGGTAGTCCGCGACTATGTCAACGACTTTCGACCGGAGAAGTGAGTTCGGCTGGCTGGCTGGCTGGCTGTTTGTGTTTTTGTTTGTTTGTTTGCTTTGCTTTGCTTTGTTTTGTTTTGTTTGTTTGTTTGTTTGTTTGTTTGTTTGTTTGTTTGTTTGCAGATTCATCACAGCGCGTTCAATTAGGACTATGGTAGGTAAGCAGGTATGGCCACCTCTAGGTTTTGCATCATGATCCTTTCTCCTGGTTGCCTACTATAGTGGCATGTGGAAGCACCGGGTATCAATTGGTCGATCGGGCTTTGGTTGGCTTTTTGCGAACACCGTTGTCAGTCTGGCTTGAGGCAACCGAACCTCGCGTTTACATGCGTTTCCTGTGCTCGTACATCCAGCCCATCATGCGCATCGGCGAATGTCTGATGTGCATGGCCTCGCTCTTCCTGTTTTTGGGTTTCAAGCCAAGTCAAAGCCGACACCCGTGCACCAAGAGGGTGTCAACAAGAAGCTCGCGGTTTTCGATGGTTGAATCGTGTCTCTTTTCTCCCCCTTCCGAGTTTTGACCCAAGAAGGCAAGAACAAGTCCTAAGGCCTTACGTTTGACAATCTCTTTGATGGCAAGCGCAGGCATACTTCCGACTCCCCCTCCTCGTGCTTCGGGAACCGAAGTCTCCGAGCCGAGGACGCCTATCTGTGCGTGGGCGCGACGCCGCCCTCGGTGAGCGACCAGGACGAGTTCGCGCACCTCTTCCGAGACGTGCTGAAGCAGAACGGTTCCCTGAGATATCGCCGCGCGGACGGAGAGAAGCGGAGCGCTTGAGCTCTGGACGCGTGAAGAGCCATCCCGAAAACAACTTCCGATTTCCTAGCTGTGATTGGGCTATGGGTCAAAACCCAAATCGTACCCGCAGTAAACATCCCAATCCAACCACTACAATAGGTAACCTAAAATGGGTGGTGCACCTACCAACCAAAATGGGATCCCATTGGTGTTGACCCACGGCCATTTGGCAAAGGCATAACTTTTTGGGTGGGTGCCCTCATGGCCAACCCCAAAAAAAATACCCGAGGTTTGGGTGGGTGCCTTTCTAGGGCTTGAGTCCGAATTCCGATTTCCGTTCTTTTCAAGCACCGTTCTTTCCAAAACCCGGATCCGTTCGGCCGTTTTTTTTGGGTTCTCCGTTCTCGGAGAGAAAGAAGGATTTTTGGAAAGAATGGGGAAGGTACCCCTAGAGCCGTCATTGGTTCTCAAGAAGGTCAACCCTGTCGGCTTGTTCCTGAGGGAGCCTGGCCACAGATGTCACATCCCTTGAACGGGGAGCCCAACAGCGGTTGTCCAAAGAACTTGATGGTTCCGTCGAATTGGACACGTGCCCTTCAACCATCTCCCAGGGTGGCTGCATGGAGCGTTATCCAACTCCCAGTGCGCAAAGGAGTGCAAGAGTTCAAAAAAACGTTCCCTCCTTCTATTTGCTGGAATGCATGGTTTTTCCGGGGAGCTTCAGCAAATGGACGCCTCCAAAGAAGGGTACGGCAGATCTTCAAAAGCAGCGGCACACCCTGTCAAGGGGGGGAGGATGCTCGGAAGCAAACTTGGACCGCCGCAAGCAGTCGAGGCTATGACTTCTTCGACAGGTCCTGTATCCTAGTGGCGGCAGACGACATCGACCGCTTCCTCAAAGCGCTCACGCAGAAGAGCTGAGGCGGCCTCGTCTGAACGCTGGACGCCGCGGAAAACTGGCAGAAGGTTTGTCTTTTTTGTCCAAAACAGTGTTTTTTTTTGTGGTTGCGACGAGGCTCCTTTACTGCCTTCTGCGAAATTTTATCCAAACAGTGTGTGTGTGTGTGTTTTTGTTGCGAGGAGGCTCCTTTACTTGATTTACGCGGTTCCTTCTGTGAGTTGTCTGGCCCAAATTCAAAGTTTCTACTCTCGGCCCGTGCGGGGTGAAACGCCCTGTGGAGTTGCAGCTGGCGCGTGGCAAGATATAGCTTCCACACGGCACGGTTTGCAGGAAGCTCTTTATTACGCAACTCTCTTCCAAAGTCCAGGGCGTCCCTGATTTTTCTCAAAGGGTTTCTCCACTGACCGCTTCGAGAGGGTTTCTCAACTGATTGTCCCAATCACAAGCAATGGGCAGCGGCAGCGATCGCAACATGCCGAGCCAAGCGGCTGAGCGGGGGGAGCAGAGTGGCTGGGGCGAGCGGACTCTGTGCCAGGGGGAAAAAGGGGCGTGGGGATTGCATTTGGATTGGTTTGGCCGTTTGGATGAGATTCGGGAATTTGCGAGTTGAGCGGTCAACGTACCCCCTACTCCAAACACCTCCTCTTTTTTCCCGGTTGTTTTTTTTGGAAACCGTTTTTTTTGCCGGGTAACCTACCTCCTTGTTTTAGTGAAGGGTCGACATCATACCCTTAACATAGGGGCTAGTGGTCCCTTCAAAACAGCCTTTCATTTTCCCAACAAGCTATTGCTCGAGGTTGCGGAAAAAACGCGAATGCTTCTCTCGAGAAGCAGAAGGAATGAGGGAATGACCCCGGGCCCCATTCAAAGAGTGTAGAGAAGCAGGGAATGAGGGAATGACTCCCAACCATGTCTTGTGTCCCCTGAGAAAAGGGGTCTTTTGTGGGGCGCGTGCTTTTTGGGACCGAAACTAGCAGGCACTTCAGAACGATTCGTGTTTCCGCCGATCGCCAAAAAGCGATGGGTTGACGTCAAATGCCAAGGGTTGTCAGGTAAGTAGGTTATAACCATGGTAAGGGGACGAACCCCAGTTACCAACCACTTGCAACCTTGGTCATAACCTACTTACCTGACGTTGGTTGAAAATCCAAGAAGGAATCCTCCAAGTGCGCGTTTTTGAGGCAAGTTGGCGCATTCCCACGGAGCTGTCTGCTGAGCCGACCTGCTGAGCCGACCTGGGCAAAACGGGGCAAAATCGAATGCGCGCTTCGCAGCTGCCCAAATCGAATCGACATACTGTGGATGGTTGCAAAATCCATTTCTCACCTTAACCATGGTTGCAAAGTGGTGCAAGATTTCGTCCATCCAAAGTATTATCAGTTGGTTATAACCAGGGTTGCCAACCACTGACCTTCCCTGCCCCAAGTAGTGGCGGGTAAATGTCACCAGAATTTCTATGTCAAGTGTTCTTGGCTCCCGGAGGATCGGCAAGCAGACGCACAGCCGGCAACACCGGGGCCGAACATAGACCGGCAGAACTGCCATGTGAGCGTTGGGATTCAGAGGAACCCCGAAACTAGAGATCATGTCCTTTCTCAAACGAACCACCCCTGCAACACGTGCGGTGGCGGTCCCAACGAAGCCGAGGCAAACTTTGGTTTCAGGGATCCATCGGTTTCTTTTCTTGGGAAGGATCAAGCATTTGAGTTCCATTGCCACCGGGCTGGATGTGGATTTGTTTTGGGCCGGGCAAACAGGACCCAGGCCATGCAAACACTGGTGGCCTGCAAGGCATATTATGTACAGCTTTTGCCCTTTTGGGCTAGTTGAATCTTCTCCACCTTGTTGGCTCTCTTGATTCAACTTGGCAGGTTTTTTGGTTTGGTGTTCATTTCTGTTTACGTGTCACAGGGCCTTTCTGGGTGTAGATCTTCAGCTTGACTGAGGTGGAAGGGAGCCTCCCTCCCCCAACGTTCCATGGCACCCTGAGGGCTGCAAAGCATCGTGGTGATCGTGTAGTCTGCTTCTCCACCAAACATCAAGAGGAAAATCAGGTGATGTTTAAGCCAAAGTTGGTCCAAGTGATGTTTCAGCAGGCTTTGTTTCTTCTCTTTTTTTTGCGAAATCAGGGTGTCGTTTTTAGGGCGCCCTATAAATTTGCTTTTGGTTTCCGGTTAAGAGCCACAAACCAAGGGGAACGAACTCACTCCCAGAGGAGCCACTTGTGTAACAGTGCCCGTGGCCAGGGCAAACCATTCCCCCCCTACGGCAAAGACCCCTGGTAGTTTTTAGGAAAGCCTTATATTGTTGGGCATTTTTGGGCATGTTTGGGTATTTTTTGTGTATTGTTTGTGTATTTTTGGGTATTTTTTGGGAAAACCGATCGGTTTTCCAAGGTAAATACCGTACTAAAAAGGGTCAACATCACAGCTGGAAAAAAGGCCGGGTATTGGGTGTAGGGGGTACTTCAGATGTTCTGGGACGAATCGCTGGGTGGTCAACAATCCCAGTTTTCTCGGGGGACGTAGAACCATGGTAAAGATGGTACAATAAAGGTTACGAACCACTCAGCTAAGTCCGAGGTCATCGAAGTAGGGAACCCTTCGCCAATTTCCTGTTGGTTTTTTAAAGGAGCAGACCTGGTTGCCCACTCTATAGTGGTTTGCCCCACAGGATGGACAGGTAGGGTTGATTCCCTTCTCTCATTGTTTGTCTGGGCTTTGGGGATCTTTTGAATCTGCTCATTTGCCACAACTGGTTGGTGCAAACCGCGCGCTTCCGAATCGCACGTTCCAGTTTCGAGTAGACAAAGGTGGAGTCCCCCTATTTTGGTGTGTCTTCTCAGGGACCACCTTTTCCAATTTCCCTTTAAAATCAGCCAAGGGTACCCACAAAGAAGACGAGCCACCCAAGTTTGCGGGGAAATACTTTCAGGAAGCAAACCCGTGTTTTACCACAGGGCCCAAAACCGACTCCCATCGGTGATTCTAGTAGTACTTAGGCGGCTCTACCATCTGGTTTGCTTTCTTGAATATACCAAAGCCCAGCCAAAAAACACTCCAATCCTGGTGCGATAGTTGCAGGGAATGACCCTTTCTAATTCATCCCACCAGTGCACTGGTGGGTGCCCCTTTTGGGGAATCCTCAGGTCCATTTCTCATTCTCATCTTACGGCACCGAGGCTTTCGGCGTCCGCACTCGGCTCTCAGCTCAGGAGTCTGGGGACCCGAATCTAACCTTTCCGAAGCGACGTGCCTTGCTGACGGCTGGATTGTACACTCACACTCATGTCGTCAGGAAACTGAGAACAACATGTAAATACCTTTGGTCAATCCAAGCGCGTTTGCCAAGGAAATGGAGGGACTAGGGAGAACCCACAGGATTGTCATGGCGGCCTGCGGTCCCCTTTGCGCCCTTTGGGCTCTTTGGCTGATGCGAACGTGTTGAACTCTTTGAACATGCCGACCCAAAAAAGGGCGATGCCGGTGTTGTCTACCCCTCAGAGTCTTAGATGTCAGGCTGTGCACGTACTGCTTTTTCGCATTCTCCCTGCGTCAAACCCGAGAACCCGAGTGGCGCCGTTTTGCGGAATATTCCGTGAGAAAACGGCGTGCAGGGTCTGCAGAACCCACCAAGCTGCTGTAAAAATAGAAACCAGCCACATCTTGCACTCCTGAAGACCAACTGGTGGGAGCATCGTTTTTAGTTGTTTCACTCGGGTCCAGTGGTCAGCCTGACCTCGCACCCGGCGTTTGCTTGCGAACCGACCGGTTCGCGCGAGTCCTTGTCGGACTCGCCAATTGCGCCAACTGTGCCATGGCGGCTTTTCACCGCGATGATGAGGCGGGGGAGCCCTTTCGGTGTGCCTTTTGTGGGTGGTACCCTTTTTGGATTGTAAAGGGAAGCTGAAAGGGACGTCACCCATTTTGAGGGGTAGCGTAGCCCTTTTCAGAGAGTTGGCCGCAATATAATGGGATCCATGGCAGCTTCGGACTCGGTACCCCTGAACACGTTTGTTCTAAGGGAACCCCAAAGGCTAGCAAGTCAGCACCAGTGTTGGAGGGGGGAAATCTATTCATTTGCCAAATCATCCCGACAGCCTACAGGATGGAGCCATCAACATGTCGGAAACCCGCGGGAAGATGAGTGAGTCCGTTTTCACCAACAAAAGAACAACCTCGAATCTTCCGGTTTCGCCAATCTTCTGGTTGGGAGTTCCTCATGGGCCAATCTTCTGATTGGGCCCCGTTTTGGGGCACCAAAAGCGAAACCCATTTGAGAAACACCTACCACATTTTTTCTCTTGGCGGCTTACATCATCTTCTCCAGCAGGAAATCAGCGTCTGAGGCGATGGAGCGAGTCCGATTCCATGCGAAAACCCTGGAGCAATCTACGGAACGCCCTTCGCAAGTTGGGAGTTTCTCTAAATCGACTTCCGACCCAATTCGTGCCAGGGCATTTGAGCCAACCCTTTCCATTCCGGCTCCCCCAGTTTGGGGTGTCCCCAAGATGCCTGCTGGTTTTTCCCTTGAAGCGCAGAAAAAAGAAAAGAACAAGTCAGACAGCGGCAGCCACGCCGAGCGAGACATCCAGGTCACCAGCCCCACGTCGGAGCGGCCCCGCATGCTGCGCATCGAGGCGCCAGGGGGTTGAGGGGGTTGGAGCCCCCCATGGCGCTCGTTGACCCCCAGCCAGCTGCAGCGTTTCGGCGTGGCGCCTTTTTTTGGGAATCGGACTCCCCCCCCCCGCAAAAAGAGAAGAATACTACAGGTGGTCTGCACATGCGTTTCCTTAAAAAGAAAACGCCAAAAAGGGGTACCCTCACTCGTTTGAGTGTGTGTGTGGATAAATTAACCCCCGCCCCCTCCGGCAAAAGTTAAAACCGGGGGATGTCCTCTCTGCTTCAAACGTTTAATTTCCACCAAAGGGGTTGCCTCAAACAAAACAAGAACACGGGAAGATCCAATGGAAGGTCACCTCATTGGGCCGCACGTGCAGCCCCAAAAGCCATGGGTCAAAGTGTTTAACCAAAAATCCGCTGGTTTTAGTCTTTGTTTGCATTTAAACCAGGGCAAGCCATTCTGGGGTTACCCTATTTTTGTCCCACACACACACACACACGAAAAGAAGAAGAAGAAGAAAGCACGTGGATGTGCTTTTGATCGGTTGGTTTGGTTAGAAACAGATGAGTTCCACTGGTTTAGATTGGTTTTGTCAACCATTGACCAGGGAAACCCATCGAGATCTTTTTCAGTTTAGGTCATCCGTGAACAAACTGCCCTAAAGAAGAACTGCGACTTGACACACGGGTTCCTTCGCTGTGCCCAAGTATGGCCCAAATCTATGCGGGGCGCAAAGGAGAGGGGGGAGGGAGGCCTGCATATTACCATTCAACCCTCAACAAACAGAACCTGAAAGAGGGTCCCTTTAAGGGCCTGATCTTTTAAGGACGCCAAATGCATTGATGAACGTCCCCTAACTTACTAGCAACAAAGTGAATAACGGTTTATTTGTTTGTCTGGTCTGCTCTGGTCTGGTCTGCTCTGGTCTGTGTGGTCTGCTCTGGTCTGTTTGATCTGGTCTGGTCTGGTCTGGTCTGTGTGGTCAGTTCTGGTCTGGTCTGGTCTGGTCTGGTCTGGTCTGCTCTGGGCTGGTCTGGGTCTGGTCTGTTCTTGTCTGGTCTGGTCTGGTTTGGTCTGGTTTGGTCTGGTTTGGTTTGGTCTGGTCTGGTTTGGTCTGGTTTGGTCTGTCTGTCTGTCTGTCTGTCTGTCTGTCTGTCTGTCTGTCTGTCTGTCTGTCTGTCTGTCTGTCTGTCTGTCTGTCTGTCTGTCTGTCTGTCTGTCTGTCTGTCTGTCTGTCTGTCTGTCTGTCTGTCTGTCTGTCTGTCTGTCTGTCTGTCTGTCTGTCTGTCTGTCTGTCTGTCTGTCTGTCTGTCTGTCTGTCTGTCTGTCTGTCTGTCTGTCTGTCTGTCTGTCTGTGTCTGTCTTGTTTGTTTGTTTGAGCGGAGAAATCCTCTTCAAAGTCTGAGTGAGAAAGAATCCTTTTTAAATTTTAAGGTCGTATGAGTCGAGAAATCCTCTTTCAAGTGAAACGAGGGGGGAAATCCAGGTCATATGATTCGAGGCATGCTTTTTGAGGGCAAAGTGTGGGGCATTGGTTTTACTACTTGGACGCTGGTCCCCTCAAGGAAACCCAAAGGAGTTTATTTGGACGCTGGTAGCTTCATGTCCCTGCGGAGAAACAGGTGCATGGCTTGCTGCATGACTGGTTCGACGTGGCGGGGGGCCTCAGTCCGCTTTGCATCGGCACGACTCGGCGACATGGTCGAGGAATGGGTTTTGGGGCCACCAGAACTGTGCTGAGGAAGGACAAGATCTTGCACCACTTGGAAAGCATGGAAATCCATTGTCTGTGGGTGTTTACAAGTATATACAGTATATCATCATTCTATGATTTCTTAGGTGGTGCAGGGTTTCGTCCATCCACAGTAGGGATTCTCCTTATGACTAATGCCTCCGGAGACGCTTGTTCTGATTGTCGACTCCATCGACGAAGTCAGGGCCTTTTCTGTGCTGGCTGCGTCAGCCGCATCCGCAGGAAGAACGGCAATCCTGGCAGGCGTAGCGCTTTGGTGTACGATGATAACACAGGTGTGATGAGACATGACAAGCACCGTGAACAGTTGATCAGCGTGTCAAAATCCCCCCCCCCCCCAACGCCCCTCCTCCCCCGCGAAACCAAGTGGTTGTCTTTTGCTCTCCTTCAAACCACCGGAAAAGGGGTACCGAGCCTCAAAAAACACGCACTGGTTCATTGAGGTCGATGCACCTGACCCGTGCCAGGAACGGGTGTAAAAGAAGTGGTCAGCGCCTAATGCCGGAGCCAGGCACCGATTCAATTGCTCAGTCCAAGCAACATTCTAGGGGTTGATTCCCCATTCTTTTCAACCATCGTTCTTTTCGGAAACCAGCCGTTTCCCCAGGCTTTTCGGCGGTTTTCTGGAAAGAAGGATCCCTGGAAAGAATGGGGAAGCTACCCCAAGCAACATGTGTTTCAATCTTTTGAGGGACCCCCAAAATAAGTGGTGGAACCCTTTGGTTTCCTGTTAGAAAACAGCCCAAAGAGAGACCAACTCAAAAAAAGACAAACACCCACACAATTCCCTTCAAACGGTGACGGGAACTGTTTGCACACAAGTCCCACCCGGGAGCCGTCCAAATTGGCAGAAGTACAGGGATCACTCGGCTTGCACTCAAAGGAACCCATGGTTACCAGATTCAGAGGTGCATTTAGCTGGGATGTTAGGTTTTTAACTTTTTGCAAACTAATGGGTTTTCCATTAAACCACTAAACGTTATTCACTTTTAGAAAGCAACCGAGAGATATAAAGCCTGCTGGATTCCATTTTTGTGGGGGCTAAGAAAGCCATGCAAGCATGGGTGTTGCTCGAAAAATAGATGGCGATCCCTGGTTTACCTGGTGGTTCAATCATCTACCAGGGAAACCCATCTATTTCCCCTAAAAAGGACACCTATGCCTATGAATATACAGCCTGCTGGATTCAATCCCAGGGCCAGCTATTTCCCCTAAAAAGGACACCTATGGATATAACGCCTGCTGGATTGTGGGGGGTAAGGAAGCCATGCAAGGAGTTCCCCGGATGTCTCAAACGCGCCTCTCAGGAGGAGCTCGGAGACATGGTGAAGGCGCCAGGCGGGCCCAAGCCGTCCAAGCTGGGGGGTGGTTTTGTGTTAGCCTTGCAACGATTTGGCCACGGATGTTTTGAACTTGGAACTTTTTTGGTTGAAACTTTGCGGATTTTCGGTGTTAGACCCGCAGAAAGTGAACAACTTGTTGCAGAGGGGTCGTTGGTTTTGGGTTAGCTTCAGGGCGATCTGGCCACGGATCTTTGGACTTGGAACTCTTTTGGTTGAAACATTTGTTGTGGATTTTCCGTTTTAGAATCGCAAGAAGTGAACAACTTTCGTTGCAGCGACCAAGGGTAGATCAGGGAGGAAGAAAGTTCACATCAGGAAATGTCAGTTGGGAGCACTCTGGAACCCCCAATGGATCGATTCAGTTGTTTTGCCTTTGTACCCCCAGCAGCAACCAAGGAGTGGGTTCAACCATGGTAACTCATTTCGTGCTGCGAAGGGATTTCGCAACCATCCACAGAAGTTTAAACTGTTGTACTTGGGTGTCCAAGACATTAATAAGTAGGCTATAACGTAGCTGTAAGTGGGGTAACCGGGGTTAGACCCCGCTGCGGCCGAAAGTTGCGGCGGGGGGGGGGGGGGGCTTTATTGTCTGCAAAGCCTTTTTTTCACCGTGGATACCACCTTTTTGCGAACAAGGGTCGACATACCCAAAGAAAAGTCGTGGGTATCGGGTGTAGGCTCTTCCATCCATGTTTACCTCTCTCTCAGCAGAATTCGGTAGATTGTTTTGGGTTAGGTGGTTTAGAGGGATTTTCCTTCTGATAGGGGTTCCTTTGGGAGTGTTTCCGAAACGAAGAGATCAAGGGAGGAAGGGAGGATAGGAAGGAAGGATGGAAGACGATCAACGAATACAGAACAACACAAGCCTTGGTCAAAGGCTTTGGCTGCGGAAGTTTAATTTTGAGAATCCTGAACATATTCTATTATTTCGTTACCCCCCAAATGGAATTAGACTCGATAGGCCATGTTCTCCTAGCAAACCAGGTTTTGTTCCCTGCTACCAACAAAGCAGCGAAGCCTGTCAAACCTGGCTTGCTTTGCTTCCATTTGCTTCCATTTGCTTAAGAATATCTTTATTCCCCTGTTGGTTTTACAGGGAATCTATCACTACTGGAAACATTTGTATTTTTCCCAGGGGACTTAAGCACTGGAAATTTGGGGGAGCAATGGAGCAAGTGAGCCATTTTTGCTGCAAAACCCAGGCGTTTGGGAGTTGTCCATTGGGCCCACAAGAAGTGAAACCTTTTTTGCCGAGGGATCGTTGCAGCAACCAAGCCAATCATTGTCTAGCCTTCCCTTTGACCATCCCAGAAAGGGCCCCAAGATGCAAGCCCCCGACAGCTCACATTGATTTTCCGTGTCCCCCCAGGTGTCATTTTGATCGGTTGGTTCAAAATAGAAGGGACACCCACTGGTGAATTGATGGATTTGGTCCAAGCCGATTTATCAGGTGTCCCCCCATCGAGATATTTCCCGTCGCAGGCTTCAACGTCACCCTCAGGGAGAACATCGCGCGGTACTTCGGCGTGCCGGCGCGGAAGACTACCGTTGGATTTCCTCCAGGGGGGAACCCCAGGTTGGTTGGAATTATAAGGGCAACCAAATGGAAACCGTTGAAGTCTTGGGGTCGCTGAGTTTGACATCCATATTTCCATTTTTTGGTGGTTTGGAAAGCATCACCTGCTTGGAGAGGTGAGTTCCCCAAGGCCAAGTCCAGATGTGGATTCGCCAATGGGAAGATTGTGGCATGTACCTTCACCCAACTGCAGGGCTTGGGGGCTGATGCGGTGCCTGACCACCATGTTGGGTCTTCTGGGCATGCTCCTGCGTTTGCATGGCATGTTTTTCTAGTGCTACCTTGCCCATTCTTTCCAGGGATCAGAATCTTTCTAGAAAACCTCCGCAAACCCAAAGAAACGGATCCGGTTTTCGAGAAGAACGATGGTTGGAAAGAATGGGGAATAACCCTTACAATTTTCAGATACTCCTTAATCTGTGGTTTGGATGGTTTGTTGGGGATTTGCACCCCAGCCTTTTGGAGCCGTTCAGGGGTTTGGTATCCCTGAACGTCCACCACACCAAATCACCGGATAGGGGGCTTTAGTGGTATTTGGCCATGGGTCAAACCCTGTACCCCAAGTGAACTGCTGAAGGTCTGGAACCGAAACTTGTCCTAAAAATACATTAGGGCCCGGCCGGGGCCCACGTGGCACGGCCTTGTGCATTGGTCGTTGGTCTTTGCAGTCGTTTGGATCTGCTCTGCTTGTCTTTGGTATTTGTTGGCCTGTTTGTATTCTGCATACTTTTGGCAGTTCTTCGTTGTGGCAAGTGCTTATCTCTCGTACCTTCTTGCAGTAAGTGAATAGCTAACAAAAGATGTGGCTACAAGTTCACCAGTTTATGGTTCGTTTGGGAGTGACATGGGGTCTCGAAATTTCCCGTGCCTCTTACTTGTAACAGGATATTTTGACCGCTCAGAGAGAGAGAGAGAGAGAGAGAGAGAGAGAGAGAGAGAAAAAGAGAAAAAGAGAGACAGAGAGAAAGAGAGTTTTGAACGAGAAGGGTGGCAAGTGGCAACGCAATTGTTGCCCAAAGCAAATCGACCGAAGATCTGCGGGCTTGCTTCATCCTTCTCCCTTCCATTTGGGATCCTCCGATCCCAACACTGTGTTGTATGTTTAGGATAAACAAAATATGGTTTACAGAATCAAAACATAAGGGCCTGCCATTTTTTAGGGGTCCCTTCCGAAATGGCGGTTTTTCGTTTGGTGCTCCTTGTACCCCCCCCCCCGCAAAACGCATGCACGCATTTCAACAAGCTGGACCCGCCCCTCAGATTTTTGTCGATGGGTCGGCAGGTCTCGCAGCAGGCCGTCTACGATGAGGCGGGGAGTGAAGATGTCCTCGGCCGAGCAAATCTGCGATGGGGAATATGGGTGTCAATCTCAAACCACCGGGGGCACCGCAGATTTTAGGGGATGTGTCCATTTACCAGTGGGTCAAACTTGGGTACAATCTTTTTGGACCCACAGTCATATTATTGAAACGTACCGATCTTTGCGTTGCTCACAAACCCAGATATATGTCTGGTGCCAGAAGGGCCGTGCTTTCCGCAACTTGAGGCTGTTTGTCCTCTTCAACCTACCCCCTTGTTGTCCCGTGGCCTTTGAACCCTACCCGAGCAACAGACAGCAAATCATAAAATCCAGTTTATGTCTGAGCTTTGGGAAAATCCAGATGGTCTGCCAATAGCTTGCAAGAAGAGCCCCAGCAATCACACAGAAAGCTTGGTGGTCCCCAGCCGTCCCTTGATTTTTTTTGCTGTGGTGTTTAGCTGGTTTAGTGGTAGTCTCCACTAAACCTACTCAAAGTTTTCAACTTTTTGCTGGATAGATTTGGGTCAGCAGAGCTGCGCGGATAGCCCGGAGAAGTCCACCGGTGAGGATGGAAATCTGGGAACTGCGGGCTACCGCAGGCGTCCGTTTGCTGAATGAATATTGTTGGTGTTCTCTTTTGGTTTGAAAAGGAATCTGTCACTACTGGAATTATATGTTTAGTTTTCCCAGGGGGCGAAAAAGCAAATGGAAGTAGGCAAAAACAGGAACCCTCAAACCGAAGCGTTGAGATGGTCCGCAAGCAGGGCTTTGACGAGGGTTTATTGAGCCAATTGTGTTGGCTCAGGGATGCCTTTTTGGTGTTCCTTCAGCTTTCCTTGAGGGAACAAGGGTGGCTCCGAACCTCAAAACGATGGCCCGGCTACAGGACCCCTTCCAGGATCTGTTTGCCCCAGTCAAAACATCAATCCGCCTGCTGATTTAGAGGATCCTGTGAGGATCCCCCCCGTGAAGCAGGCGAATTTACCGACTGCCCCTTTGGGTTTTCATTCATGGCCCCAAAATCATGGACCCCTAAGAGGGGCTATGGGGAGGGGGGGCCTATCCCTTATTCCCCCCTCCGCACGGCGCCTTATTAAGGGCTTATCCTTGGCTTTTTCCTGGGCGTATCTTGGGATAGCCCCCCCCCCCCCCAAAGCCCCCCTAAGGGGGTCCATGACAAAAGGTTAACCTTTTATTTCCAGGTCCGACAAGGGCAAGTGAGGCTCGCTCTATCCTGCAAGGAACCCTGCACAAGGGTCGAAACAAAAATTGCCGGGCCCTGGCTGTCCTGGTCGGCCACTTGGCCAGCTTTCTTTTGTGACAACCGGATCTTTTGGAGCCCTTGGGGCTTATCTAAACCACAAACCCAGGCCAGCCACCATAGTGGGCAACCGATCGCCCGAAGGTTTCCATGTCGCTCTTTGGATTTCCGAGCACGACCTAAGCCAGCTCGCTTGGAGAATTTGCAGCCCAACCCTCTGGTGTTACTGAAAGTTCCGAAAAGAACTGGGTGTGTCTGCTTTTGAGGGAACCTTGTTGAGGCTCGTTTGGGGAGTGTCTGCTTTAGTCCTCAGCTCGTCCTCTGTTGGGCGTACCCTTGTGGTTGTATCTTGGGCGACCAAGAAAACAACCACCATCTTTGGGGCTCCGATTTCAAGAAGAGGCTGTGGGTCAACACCAATCGTACCATTTTGGTTGGTAGGTGCATCACCCATTTTAGTCTTTTTTACTGGTTGGATTGGGATGTTCACTGGGGGCACGGGGTTTTGACCCATAGCCAACACCAATTTGGTTTACCCCTGTTACCCTTTTGGGGGGGAGGGTTCCCCTAAAATAGACAGAACAAAAAAGTGGGTACCCGTATAACCTCTCAAATCTGGAGGACCTAGCAGACACACCCATCTGGGTGCGGCTCAAAATCAAAGAGCTAGGGCTTACGCAGGTTTTCGTCTTTCCCATTTACCATTTGGTGCCTTCTTGGGTTCCTCGTTTTTGAGCCACGCCCATCACATCCCATTTCCCCTGTTGGTTTTAAAGGGAATCCATCACTACTGGAGTTATTTTTTATTTTTTCCAGGGGATGGAAAAGCAAATGGAGGATTTGGTCCCATTTACCAAGGTGCCATTTTGGTACACGTTTTTGAGCCACACCCATCTGGTTTCCAGAGTCTCTGCCCTTGTCCCCGGTCTCCGCTTTTCCCCGGTCTCTCACGCGACAGGATGGCTTGTTGGCCACCGCGGCGGACCTGAGCCAGAAGCTCAGCTTTTGTCCCGATCTGCTTGGGTATAGTCCACGCAGCCTTTGGTCCAGAAACCATAGGTGTGCTTGAAAATAGGTTAGTTTGGTTAAACATAGATGGCACTGGATTAGATTCGGGGTTTTATTTCATGTACCAGGGAAGCCCATCTATTTTTGCTCAAAAGACCACCTATGCTAGAAACCGGGGTTGGTTTTGCGAGCTTCTTTTTACTGTCTCCCTGTAAACATCTCAATTTGTTGGTGCTCTCAACTTGTTGGTGCCTTTTTGGTAATCTTTTTGTACTCTCTTCTCATAGTCTACCAGGGGTGGATCCAAAAAAGCTACATTCAAACCGTTTTCTAGATTTACTGTTCTTGGCACGTGATTTAGCTTCTTCTTTTTTGTCTGTTCATACTGTCCGTTCGTGTTTTTTGTCTGTTCATAGCTGCGTGCCTATTGTTCGCTTGCCAAGAGTAGACTGAATATAAACGTGTCCTTGCTTAGGGGATCCCCAAAATGATAATTGTGGTTTCTTTTCGGTTTTCTGTTCAAACCGACGCAAGAAGGGCTGTGAGTGAGGCCCCCCCATAAAAACCCAAGTCTTGTTTCGAGTTTCGGATGTAGGCCAGAGAAGTAGAGAACCCTTGCAACCCAAGCCACGGTTGTGAGTGCTCATGTGGGGTTAAACTGTCGCTAACTGATGGGGGCTGGGGAGGGAGGGGAGGGGAATATTTGGGCTCCCTCCCCCCTCCCCTTCCTTCCGCCCTTCCTCCCCGGCCCCCGTCACTAAACATGCCAAATACGCTCCTTGGAGCACTGAGAACACAAGGTACATGTTTTTTGGTCTGTTTTAGTTTTCCTTAGACGCAGAAACCGGGGAGCGGTTTCCCTTTGATCTCCTAGCCACCCCAATTCCACTGGCCAGGTTGGACTTGGATGTTCCATTCAGTTTTGCCGTGGCACTGCTGCGAACGGACGGACCACTTGTATGGATTGTCCCTTTTGGGTAGGTGTTGCAGGGAAACCAACAGGAAAACCACGCATGTTGGGGGTCCGAATCCTAAACAACAGAAAAAAACAGCCTTGCTTAGCTCAGAGTGCGAATTCTCGCTTTTCTTTGTTGCTCGACTTGTTTTGCCACAAAGAAGATGGGTTGGTTCGGCAAGTTTTGAATTTCTGGAGACTTGGGAAGTAGAAAGAAAGAACCGAGTTTGCCTTAGAATAGGGGACACCCCATCAAAATGGCGTGCTTGCTTTGGATTCCCTCTAAACCCTAAACCTAAAATGGGACCCTGACAAAGACACACCCAACCCGTAAGGGAGGCGCCTTGGCCAGCAACCCTGCACGCCCCGAAAGGGACACCCCGAAAGAACGGATCCATTTTTTAAAAGAACGGTGGTGGAAAAGAATAGTTGGGCTCAACCCCTAGATGGGGACACCTCCCGGCAGAAAAGCAGCAGCAGACACTCAGGCCGCGCATTGCAGAGATACGCCCCGAAGCTGTATGTGCTGGCCCCGAGGGTTGGGGGGCTGGCTTTTTCCATCTCTGAAACGGCTTGCTTTTTCAATCTGGGGGTCATGAGATGTTGACGGTTGTTCGGTGTGCAAATGGTGAGGTAACCGGGGAACCCCTAGTTGGTGGTTTGGATTCGGTGTTATCCAAGTCTGAAAAGGGTCAGGCAACCCCTCATTGGTGGTTTGGATTGGTTGAGGGATTTGACTCCTGCCTTCTGAAGTTTCACGTGGGGTTTTGGTACCCCTAAAGGTGCAAGCCACCGGCCACCCAACGAACGAGAAGGAAGCTGAAATGGGGGTGTTTCCCCTTAGCCTACCGCTCAGCAGGTGACTTTGACCATAGCGAGTGACAGCAGTCAGTGCAAAAACGCGCACGAGAATCGAAGGGCTCACATTTGCTGTTGTGGGCACTTGCGGGGAAGACAAGCATGTGCCGAGTGTGGCACCAGGTCGCAGATGCTGGCTTCCTGTAACACGCTTTCAAGGTTCACTTCGAATGAGCTCCAGTCACATGGTACGGATACCGTACTGTATCCCTTCAGATCGGCTCATATGGCTGTCTTTTCTTTTAGGGGTATCCTGGCTTTGTTGTTTTAAAGGGACACCAACATGACAACCGAATCCATTTTGGGGATCCCCTGAAAAGCAACAGCCACGTAGGGCTTTCGGATTCAACAGGGAATTGCCTCCAATGTGGTTGCTAGGCATAAATCCCCGCCGAATTCTGATGTCCACCATTTCGGGCGCCCCGTCAAAAAACACAAACTTATATGATATCTAGAGCCTGGGCAATTTGAAGCACCTCCTTTCAGTTGCTGAGTTTTATGGAACTTGTAAGGGCGCTTGGTACAAGGGAGGTTGGTACAAGGGAGGTTGGTAGTTGAGAGGCCTAGGGTTTTAGGAGGGTTCCTTAGGGTTCCGGAGGTTCCTTGGGGAGCCTTAGGAACTCCCCCCCCCCCTTCCCCCGCCTGGACCATCCCCTGAAGGGGCTCCAGAAGAGTTGGGTCATCTAGAAATCATGCGGAGGATCCCTGGAGGAAGCGACTCCATCGGGTTGGATGCCGATCACTGGATGATGATCATTTGGGTGGCTGGTCTTCTTTTCAGGCTGGTTGTGATTTGTTTTGTGGTATTGCAGAAAATCCACAAGGAGTCCCAAAAAGAAAGAGACACTCATTGGGATCAGCCAACAACACCGATCTTCCGAACTGTGGGAACTGTTGGTATTTGGGGGGCGGGGCCTGATCCAACTGGGATCCTATTTCCCCGCTGGGATCCGCGCGCAACAAAGAGGTCTACAACCTGAACGAGATCGGACCGCGCCCCAGAACCGGCCATGAGCTTCGGTTTTTTTAACCTGCTGTGGATGGCTGCGAAGTCCATGTCGCACCACCTAAGAAGCGTAGGTGTCCTTTTAAGTTATGGCCCTGGTTTACCTGGTGGTTCAATCATCCACCAGGGAAACCCATCAATTTCCAACCTAAAAGGACACCTATGCTAAGAAACCCTGTGATACGATTCCCTGGTAACTACCAAGAAACGTTCTGGTTTCAACTTCTCCACATGGTCCATTGCTGGGGCTCCAAAGATATGATTTGTTTAAGAGTTGGAATCACCTTCAAAGTGCAAAGGGCAGGAATCCCCAACTTAACTATGATGTTCAAAGGGTCCCTCAATTCATAGTTTAACACCCATATCCCCGATTAAATGTATCGTTTTGTGCAGGCGAAATCGGAAGCAGCATCTTATCCCTAGGAAAAGTGTGTCGAGCCGAATAATTCTCCGTCACATTGAACCCAGAGCCACTTGGGTCTTCCCGTTTTCTGGTGGTTTCCGTTGACCCAAGTGGGGAACCCAACAAATGGCGTTGGCCACACACATGATTCGTTTTTTGGTTCAAGCGATCGGAACTTGTTTTTTTGTTTGAGGACATGAAACCGTGCAAGCCAAACAGGGAGTCCGTCTCCACGTGTTTCGCCAGAGAATGCATATGCAAGGGGTCTTTTGCAACCTTTTTGCGTGCTTCCAGGTCCTTCCCGTGCAAACCCAAGCCATCCGAAGGTTCCCTGATAGACAGAATCAAAATCCCGCCTGGGTATGGATCAAAATATAGCCAGTGGACTGCAGGATTTGGACTGCAGGTTTTTGTCATTCCTGGGTATGGATCAAAAATATCGCCACCAGTGGACTGCAGGTTTTAGTCAACTTGTTTCCATCTTGGGTACCTATTTCTGTCCCACACCCAGCTATCCCTACAAGGTGTCCTCCATCCCCGCTGCGAAGTGGATGTTGGATCCACTCAAAATAGTGGACCCCCTGTTGGGACGCCAAAAAGAACATGAGCCATTTTGGGGCTCCCCCGTTTTGAGAAACCTCACACGTGTGTGCCTCGTCTTTTTTGAGGCCACCCCTTTAAAGGGACCAGGGACACCGCGGGAGTTCCTTGGGACCGTTTTTCGTCCTGGAACTCCTTCAGCCCATCAGCCCAACTCACAATACATGGATCCTCAAACAGGGGCACTCAAAATGGGGGGAACCCCAGAATGTTGTTCTTCTGTTTGGTGTCCCTTGAACACCAACCAGGGGTCCGCTATTTTGAGAACCCCCCCCCCCCGGCCCCCAACATGGAGGACGAAGGAGTGCCCATAGTCCACGTACGGACTGGGGTAGACTTAGGATACATTTTACACTTTACCAGTGACTCAAAGTGAAGCAAGCAATAACACATACATTCTATAGCTGGTTGCCTGACTCTGATCATGAGGAGTTGATAGTGTTTTTCGCCGCAGGCGTTTCCAGGAGTTTCCCATAGGGTGCCGGCGCCAACTGGATCCCCCGCAGCCGAACGGCCGCCCGGCGTTTGAGGTCGGAGGTCGGGTGGGGCGGAGGGCGCGAAAGTCGCAACGGCCCAAAGGGCACGTGGTACCTCATATGGGTGGCTCGACTTTTTTGGAGGCTCGGTACCTCTTTTTTTTTGGTGGTTTTAAAGGGCAATCAAACGGAACACCACTAATTTAGGGTCCCGTCCCCGAAAAAAATCAAAATAAAGTGCACACCCATGTTTTTGCGGACTTCGCGAATCTCCCATTGACAATCCAGGAAAACAAAGGGGTACTCAGACCCCTGGCAACAAGCATTGCTTACCAAACGGATCGCTCACGGATCGCGAATGGGAGGAATCCCCAATTTTATGTCTGTGTTTATCAAAGGGGACCAAAGAGTGTGTTCTTTTTTCACGTGTTTTTTCTTGACCCCTTTTATTCTGTAAAATTCAAACACTCTCGTTTGGTTTTGAGCTGGGACCCTTTGGGCTCATACTCCCTTGTTCGGAGCAATCTTGGGAAATGAGAGAGGCGCAGCGTTCAAAGCTAGCAGGATTTGCTCCCCAGGTGAAACCAAGGGTCAAGTCCCAGTATTTTTTGGAACCCAAAAATCCAGAATCTCATCCTCTTTAGCAGGGCTCCTTAAAAGATACATTTTGCCCATTTGAAACATGGCTTTTTCCACCAAAATGAAAGGACACCACCGTTTACAAGGCAATGTTCAGGTGTATAATGTAAGGATCCCTCTTTAGGGTAACGCTTCGTCCCATTCTCAGACTGACGACCCAATTGGAAACAAATCGAACATCGTGTCTCCCGCAAAAGACGATGCGCCGGCCGATCCGCGCAGAGCGATCCGGAGGAATCTCTCTCTCTCTCTTTCTCTCTCTCTCGCTCGCTCGCTCTCACTTGCCGCTTGGGCGAATCAACCTTTTCACCTGGCTTCCCCTTTTTAAGAGTTTCATTTTTTAGATTCCGGTGTTTTTAAACAACTGATTTGTTTGAATGTTTCTTATTAGTCAGTCCCGGTGCCGTGCCTCTGCCGCTGAGATCTCATGGCGGCGCCGGAGCCGGACTACTACCAGCTGCTGGGGGTCCAGAAGGGCGCCACGCTGCAGGAGATCCGCGCGGAGTTTCGCGCCTCGGCGCGGACGAGCGTTTGATCAACCCTTCTATGGCCGTGGGTCAAATTTTGGTACCCAAAATGGGATTTTGGAACCAAGTTGACGAAAGCCTGGGGTCCTTTAATTTTTATGTTTGACCCCGACCCACATTGACATGGTTCTGTTCCTCTTTTGAAACCACATGAGGGTCCCTTTTAAAGGAACATAGTCAAAGCTCGGAACTTTCTTGGGGGCCATCCACTCAGGAAGTGAGGAAAGGGCAAGGGAGGGTTTGGAAAGGGGATGGAGAGGAAAGGAGCAGGGTTGGGGCGGGTTTTCGACTGAAAGGGCGTTGGTGGCGAGGATCTAGGGGCAGTGAGGCTCAGGCCAGTGAAGCAGTGGGGATTGGGCAAAGCTTTGATGACTACCAAGCATCTTCTGGAAGCGCTCGTAGCCTTCTCGCAAATGTGGGCCCACGCAGCTGGTCATAGAAATCAGCTGGCAAGGAAGGGCAAGCAAGCTTCTGAATCAAGTGAATGGTGCACCAACTGGAAGGACGCGCGACACAAAAGCCAATGCCGCACCCTGCGTCTGCAGGATTGTTTGGCGCATTTCTTGCTGCTGTTTTGTTTATCACTTTCCCGACTACCCAAAGTGAGGCGCCGCTAGACGGATGTTCTCCACCCCATCTCTCCTTCGAGTAGTGATGCGTGGGGTCTCGCACTGGAGGTCTGCTGGGACGTGTCTTGAGACAACATTTGCATTCGCTAAATATGGGCCAGAATCAGACATGGTCATTTTGTCTTGCGGGGGAGCTGAGGTAGTTTCTCTTTGTTTAACTACCCAAGCAAGGCAACTCCTGCAGCAACCCACGTGCATATCTCAAAGGTGGTTTCGGGGCAGTGGAAACCACCTGGACCCCCAATGGACCGATTTCTTTCTTCTGCCTACTTTTTTTTTTTTTTCTCGTGGGACTTTTGGGCAAAACGGTGCCCTTTGGGGGCTCCAGGCATTAGGTAGCCAGAGGAAGCCCTCCATGGTAAGATCTAGAGGTAAAAATACTGAAGGGTTACCAACTCTATAGTGGCAAGCGCCTGGAAGCACTGGGTTAGATGGGAAGGTTGCAACAAACCGTTGCCTTTTGGAATGCTTACTGAAGCACCTTGGGCAAATCAACCATCCCCCTGCGCATCTCATCTCATCCTCCCAGTACCTGGACCTTCCAGTTTTAGACCATTTTGCCGACAATCGAACCGGCTTCCCTCCATGTGTGTTTTCGGAACCCCCCAAGTGGGCAGTGCGACAAAAGTTCGGAGATGTTGAGGCCAATCCACGCGATCGATTTCCCGGCGCCAAGGCAAGAAAGTTTTGGCCGAGCACCCAGACAAAGGCGGAGACCCGAAGAAGTTCCAGCTATTGAACAAGGCGCAAGGGAAGAAGACGCGCCATAGCGACTTGAGTGTGACCCATAAAACCGCTTAAGTCCACGAACCAGTCTGTCGGAATCGGACTGCTACCTGTTCTCGATGTTTCAGGGGTTTGTGTTTGGACAAGAATCGGGCTCCCTTTTTCCCCAACAGCTGAAAGCTATGGGAGGACAGGCCCACAGGCTCTGGGGTTTGTGGCAGCTGGGTTTTTGGGCTGTTAAGTATATTGAATGCGGCCTATTTTTGATCGAAAAGTTGACACGTTTCGACAGCAACTGGAACTACACTTCCACGAACATGGACCTAGTTTGGATCTTTCTTCCACTCAAGAAGGACCCCCAGGCTTCCATGCTGCTGGGTTCTAAACAGCCCATGATTTACATTTCTTCCATGGAACAAATTTTCCAGGCCTTGTTGCTGCTTGGTTTCTGTTTCGGCTCCGACGTTTGAGCTTGTGCGAGTCTTGGCAATGCCCCTCTGGTTGGTAGAGGTAAACACCGATTCGCAAACCTTTGCCAGGGATGACCCCCAGATTCGATGCGAGTTTTGATCATGGCAACTCGCGATCTAAGCGGACGGTTGTTGCTGAAAGGAGATCCGGAGGTTTGGAGCGGAGGGGTTCCGGGACTCCAGTGCCCCAAGGGGCCGTTTGCTTTGGGGAGACCTGAGCTGATGTTGGGACGGGGAAGTCTTCACGATGCATCTAAAGGCGTGTCGGTGGCTTTGGGCACACTCTCATTCCAGGGGTTTTGGGTCAGTTTAGCGGAAGTCTAGCGGCAGACAAGCAGTTTGGACTTGTTAAAAGCCGCTCCACTCATGAGTCTTGCTTTGCTCTTGCTTTTCAGACTCGCCCAGTGCAACTAAGTGCGCGGCGTTTTCTTTTTCTGTCCTTCCTTTTTTAGCAGGGGGTCAGGCCCCAAAAGCAGCAAGAGGAATCAAGTGCGTCAAGTGCGACAGGCCTACAACGTCCTGTCGGACCAGGACAAGAGGCGCCGCTACGATGACACAGGGCGAACTGAAAGGCCGGGAACGGAGTCGCCGACGTCGGCGTAGGACGGGGGACTGTTTGGAAAGGGAAGCAAGGTGACACCATTGTCTGATTTCTTGCAACCGGGTTGCGGGATCACTCGGGGTTTATCCAACCACTTCTGTGATACAAGTTGGAATCCCGTCTTTATATGGGGGCGTAGTTCTTGGGAGGCCCTTTTTGTGGTATCACAGAAGTGGATTCCATTTGCCGCAGCCCTGCTTGAAACCCTTTGCGCAACACATCAACTTTTTGCAGGGCCAGGCCTGGCCAAGATGAAGCTTGGTTTTGGCACCTTACGTCGTATTTTGCTGTGCAAGCAAGCTTGTTTTGAGCCACGCCTTCTTTGAGGAATGCACTGTACATGAAGCCAAGAAAACCCCGGAAGACGCGAGAGACCCCCCAATTGGTTGATCAGGGGCTCCCCAGGAAGAAAGGAATCCTCAACCAAAAGAAACAAAAACAGCCCTCCCAATGGCAAGTGGCGGGTTCATCAATCAGGGGTCGACATTAGTGGGACTCCCCCCAATGGCAACCAAAACGCAGCCAAGTTAACATCCATCCCCTTAAAAAGACAAAAACAAAAACAAATAACATCCAGCAGTGATGGATTCTCTTTAAAACAACAAGGGAAACAGAAAAAGAACCATTTCAGAAGACTAGTAACTTCTTGCCCACCTTCAATTAGCAATTGCTGGTGCGATTTGCAGGGAATGAGACATGGAATGAGTCCGATTTAAACCTTTCCTTTTGGGAATCCCAAAACGGTTCCTTACTCATTCCCTAGTGATCGCAGCGGCAAGATTAGTTCCGCGGAGGTTCTTGAGCTTCATCGTCAAAGGCCCCAAGTGTTCATGGCGCGCTAGAGGTCATGAGCAAGAAGTGCTGGGTGCTGGTTTTGCTAAGGTAACCAGGTTTGGGTCAGTCGCCTTTTGAATATGTTGAACACCAACTGTTTACAGAGGTCTTGCTGTTCCAACGGCCCAAACGGCCCCCAAACCCCGGCTTGCAAATGTGTGGGTCTAGTTGTGCCCAACCTGGCCCATATTCCTCCCACTCAACTGCAACGTTCGACCCAAAGGGTCTAAATATTTTCTACCATTTTTTTGTCAAGGGCAAAGATGCAAGATGGCACCACGCGTTGGTTCCATGTACCAAGATGCGATTTTGGGAATTCCATTTTTTTGTGTATATGCCGCACCCAACGAGCGTTTGGGCCTTTTCCCACGTGAGCCTCCGATCCTGTCACTGGGCATTCACTCGGCGCTCGGTCGGCGAGGTCCGTAGAGGAGGAGTTTGCGGCAGCTCGGAGAAAATCTTCGCCTCGCGTCTTTTAGGCGATGGCTTCGTTTTTCATCCTTTTGGTTTTCCTTTACCAGAAGCGCAGGGGTGCCCTCAAAAGACACCCCAAAGTAACTTGGCAGGCAAAGGGCAGCTGGGACACCGTTTGACAGCAGGCAGGTGCTGGACTTTGGGCTTTGGAGTTTTTGAGTTTTTCGCTTTCTTTGCGTGATCTGTTCTTTTCTTTTTTACTTTGGTCATGATATCCTTAGGTCTCCTCAGTTGCATTCAGCCTGTCTAGAGGTTCTAATGCCCAAACCGCCAAGCCACACCGTGGAAACTGGTGGCTTCTCGTCCGCGAAGTCCCAACAGCCGAAATCGGGCGAGCACGGGTTCAAAGCAGAGCTTGAGATGAACTCCGAGGCACTCCGAGCTCCATGAGCTCAGTCAGGATCCCTCAGCTCAAAACACGACGATTGGGGCCATGTTTGGGGCGAAACCGCAGAAACAGACGCGGCCTTCTGCTTTCCTCTTTTCAGGCGCCGGCCTTCCATTTCAGGGATAAGATGCGTACCCAAATGGACTTCGACTCTTAAATGAGCCGCGCAATCAGAACTATAGCTGAAAGTTAGGGGGCTTGTCCCGACCATAGGCGTGGCTGCCCTTTTGATTCTTCACCTTCTTCAGCAACGGGTTTCATTGCTGAAATGTGGTCGAAGCCTCAGAGCAACCTTCCATGAAACTTGGGCCTTTCTCTTGTTGATTCATGGGCAAATCATCTCAAGGATCGTCCAGCACAGGTCATGACTGCTTTCTTTGAGGTCATTTCTGAATATTCCCCAGTGCTTGCAGTTCCCACTCTCGTAGGTAGCCCTTCGGTATGTTTACCTGGTTTTGCCATGGATGGTTTGAAGGCCTGGTGGCCTACCTTTCTGGGCGAAACCGCCAATTCGGAAGCACTGGGCCCCCCCAAATACGCAGCCAAAAGATTTGGCTTCCGCCCAAAGGTGCTGAAGCCAGTGAACCATGTCTTGCCTGTATTGAAGAGGGGTCTGCACATCAGCCAGGACAAGAAGGCCCGTGAAAAATCCTATGAATAATCCCACAGGTTTGGCGCTCAGCATGACCCCGCCAATGCAGACCCCCGAGCTTTTAGTGATGAAGGTTCGAGCTCCCCAATTATGAAGCCCCGAGCCGTTGGCGCTTGAAAGCAATTCATTTTGAGGGCCCCAAAACAATCGGGAGCCATAGGGTAGCTCCTTTATATTACTTTAAACATGTGAGACACCCCAAACCAACTGATGGCCGAGCTGGTCTCACTGCGCTAAAATCCCGAAGTGGGACCACATGCAGGTGTTTCAAAATGGACGCCGATCATCGGTTGGCGTTCGTTTCAGGATCCCTCAACGCTCCCCAAAAGTGTCCCCTTTGAGACAGACAGTCCTTTGGTTGTCAACGGTCCCTCAAGTGGAACAATTGGAGTAAAGGCGCCTTCTTTGGAGGGTCCATATCTTTTTGGGGGCTGATGGCAAGTGGGTATGTGTCAAAGGGGATTGTTTACCCTTAAGGGCAACCTGAAAGACACGCAAGGGGGACCCCAATTGTTGTTTTCCCGCTTTTCCTTTGAACCAACCGTGCAGCTACCTGGAGTCTCCATGACCATTAAAAAAAGGAGCCATTCTCCAAAATCACGGAGTCATGGATTTACTTTTAAAGGCTCAGAGGGAGACTCCAGGTGGCTGGTTGTTTTCCCGTTTTCCCTTTAAACCAACCGTAAAGGTCCCGCCCCCCGCCCCAAACCCCCCGCCGCTCAAGTGGCTGTGGCTCAAAAAACCGAACCTTGGTAAGTGGAAACATGGACCAAAACCTGCGCAATCCCTCCTGTTTAATTTTGAGCCACACCCAAGTCCACCAACTCGACCAAATCCGAGCCGAGGAGTCCTTTGGCGGCGGGCGCTTGTCAAAGGATGCGAGGCCTAAGGAGGCAGACGAGCGGGCGGTGGTGAACATGGAGGACCCAAGCCCTGGGGGGGGGGTTGGGGAGGGGGGCGAGGTGGGGGACGAGGTGGGGGGGGAGGTGGGGGGGGAGGTGCCGGCCAATTGGCGGCGCCAATGGACTTGCACCGAGAGGGCGTCTTTGCCTTTTTTCGCGTTTGGCACTTTTTCCGAAACTTGGGTTCAACTTTTTGTTTTTTGTTCAACCGACTTGTGATTTTTTCCTTGGGTGTTCAGCCACCTTTTCTTTGTTCGTTTTGAAGAGGTTCAGCTTGAAACTCAGATACCACAAAAGGAGCGACCTTTTTCCATTGGCCAGTGCGGGTCTGGGTCATGGTAGGACCCCACTAGCTCAAGCAAGCTTAGCTGGCCGGCATTCTACTTTGACCACAGAACGGATCGCAAAGCAGGTTTCACGGGAGGTGTCCATGTAGGTTATCACAATCTCCCGCTGTTCAAGCTACTCAAGTAGGTTACAACCATGGCTTTAATTGCGGGTGGCTGGGATGAGTCCTTTTAATCATGGGTAGAACCTACTTAAGCAGCTTGAACGACCAAGGGGTGTTATCTCGTTTCTGGTGCAAGCGGAGCTTTCTGCTCGTAGCAGTGGCATCAGCCCAAAGGCTCGGGACCACGAAGGCGCGAATATTGGCCTGGAGTTGCTCCTTGGCACTGGGGTGGTTCTTTTGGGATGGCTCAATCCTAATGTTAACCCCCGATTAATAAACAGCTGGTTAATTAATAGGGGGGTGTCCCCCTTTTAGTGGGGATTCATCACTTTTGGAGGGAACCCCCCCCCTAATAATGGGACGGGTTTATTAATCCTGGCTCAATCGCAGGGCTTATCCAAGTGACAAGATGAACCGAACCAGTTTGGGTAGGCCATTCCCGGAGCTTCCAGGCGCTTGCCACAGTAGGGAACCAGGGGTTTCCAACCGTGATGCAAAGGGGGAAGCGATACCGAAGGGGTACCTACTGTAGTGGCAAGCGCTGGGAAGAGGTGGGAATTGGTAAAGCGTCCTTTGATTTCCAAGAAACGACACCCCCCAAAAGACAAAGCAGGAAACGACCCCCGCCCAACAAAAAGAAAGAAGGAGAAAGCATGATCAAGAAAAGCACGACCCCCCGAAAAAAGACGGGGAGGGGGGGGGGGGGCAGACCGCTGCTTTCCGGCTCCTGCGGCCGGCCTGCGCAAAGCCGGCTGCGCTCTCCAGGAGCGGATCTCGAAGCCCGGGGGCGAGCACGAGGAAGGCTTCCAGGAGTGGCTGAGGCAGCGGGACCAGCAGGAGATGGCGCCTCGACTTATTCGTTCGGCGGGACACGTGCACGGCGTGCGGACTCGTTCGCGGATTCGGATTCGGTCCTGGAGTTGAGGCAGAAATTTGGGTGTGCAACGTCAGGTCAGTAGCCATGGCCTACAGGGTTGTTTGACTCGTGCCTTGCGGCGGCTGAAACTTGCGTGAATTGGTTTCCTTTAAGGGACCAAAGCCTGGGTTCATTCCCACATCCCCTACTGAGCACCAGCAAGTGCATTTGGGTGTTCAACAACGTCAGGCAAGTAGGTCATAGCCGTGGAGATGATTACCCCAGTTGCCAACCACTTCGCCTACTGAGTTGGTTGACCAGAGGCTATACTTGCTGGTGCTGACTCAGCAGGGAATGAGTTGCATGGAAGCCCGATTTACACCATCCAACTGGTGGTTTCCTTTAAGGGGACCAAAGCCTGGGTTCATTCCAACATTCCCTACTGAGCACCAGCAAGTATATTTGGGTGTTCAACAACGTTTTGCAAGTAGGTTATAGCCCTGGAGATGATTACCCCAGTTGCCAAGCACATATAACCATGGCCTACTGAGTTGGTGGAACACCCGGTCTGAGGGTTTTGACCAAAAAGCGAAAAGGACACTACCCGCTACACTTGCAGCACGGTGCACGTCATTTCTGCACTGTCTACTGGGTTGCGGGTCTCAGAATTACTTTGCCGCAAAACAGCAAAATGGCGGCCTGAATATATTTCGCGTGTTTATGTGTGTGTGTGTGTGCTTCAATGTTCTTGGCATGTTTGTTGGTTTTTGAGTTGTTTGGTTCTGTTCTGTTCTTTCTTTCAGTTCTTTTTTGGGGGGTGGTCGCAAAAAACAACAACAGTCAGTCTTTTTTGCAATCCTACCAAGAGTTGTAGAGTGCGTGTGTGGTTAGGGGTCCCAGCCATGCCCCGAAGCAGCCGCGCCAAAAAGCATCGAGCGAGCTCACCTTCGAAGGCGGACATGGGGCCATGGGCTCCACAGATGTTTTCAGAAAACCGGCCCTAGGAAATAAACAACCCTAGGCCCTAGGGGAAAAAACACCTACTCTTTGGATCCTTTGGATCCTTTGCAAAATGGCCGACTGAGAAATAAGAAAGACAACACCCTTCCATCGGGTTCCACCCCTCTTTTTACTGCGCCCCTGTCGATTTGGCCTCCCGCTTTCGGGCTTCGGCAAGCAAAACGAGGAAAAACTGAGTGGAAGACGGGAACAACTCCTGCTTCAGGGGTCAGGTATAGATGGGCATTTTTTGGGCACAGAGAAATCAATGTACGTTTTTTCCTTTTTTTTTCTTCGAACTTTCTGTGGGTACCTCGTTTTGATTGCTTTAAAGGGAGGGAAGGGCTGGTTTTTTCCCAGGTCTGGCTCCCTGGCTGTGGCTGGGCTGGCCGTACCAGCCTCGCTGGGCACAAAATGGCCATTCATTTTCCCCCCCACCAATTGACATGAACCTGACAGGGTCCCGCTCCCTGTATAAGGAAAATGATCTTCCAGAACCCCCCACGTTAATTGGTGCGAGGGTAGTAGGGCCTCCAAAGTGGTTGGTGGACATCTCCAACTAATGTCCACCAAAGGTCCCATTCACATTCACACCCAAATCCATGATGTCCACCAGAGGGTCCCCAATCCCATCCAAGCGGCGGCTCGCCTAGGTTATGACCGACAAGGACTTCATGAAGACGGCGCTCTTCAATGCTGCAGAGTGTCTTGGGATGCCTAACATGGGGGTCTCCCAACCTGGTTTTCCGGAAGGCTTTTTCCAAAATCCCGAGAAGAGACATTAGGGTTGTTCAAAAGACCGAAGGGTTTTTCAACAGACGGTGGTCAGACATAGGGACTTAACCTGGTTGCAATGAGAAGAACGACCTGGACCATTTTGCGGCACGGGAACAGTTTTCCTCGAGGCGTTCCTGATTTTCCTTGTGAACCCTGGGGGTGTGTCCACTTTTTTCTTCACCAGAATTAGCTCCTTTTTTTTGGGGGGGCTTTTTTGGGGTTCCCTTGGTTTTCCACTAACCAGGCAACAATTTTTTTTTTGCTGGGGTCCTAATTCCAGCCAAGTTTTTGAGGGTGCCATTTTCTGTTGTAGTTATCAAGGAAACCAAAAGGAACACCACCCATACTGCAAGGTCCACTAGAAAATCCGTGTGACATGGGTGCAGTGTGGAAAAGGAAGGCACCCATTGACGCCACATGGATATATGTGCAGTTCAGTTCCCTAGCCCACCCTGGCTTAAGAGGAACATCGTTGTCCAAAAGGGGTCTGCGCAACACACCATGTTCAACAGCAAAAACCACCTCCCTCGTATATGTTATGATTTGACTGCTGGACATTACCCCGCTGGATATCTCCATGGATGTAACTCGATGTGATCTGATATATCTTCAGTTCCCTAGGAACCCATTGTGGGCCTTTGCCACTCCATCTCTTTGCAACGCAGTTTTTCTAGGAGCCCATCATGGGCCGTTGCCCCGCCAAACTCTGTGCTCCGGAGTTGTCCATGGACGCTTCCAGAAGGCCACCGCGAATCTTGGGGCTCCAAGCCGTCCATTTCGGGGCTTCTGGCAGCTGCCCAACCAAAAAGCCGCCTGAAAAAAGCAAAAAGGCCGTGGAAGGATGAGGTCTGCCAGGCTCTAAGACGACTTTCCGGATGATGTTCACCTGAGCCACAACCAAAACCCGGGTAGATGAAGGTTAGTAAGGGACAATCCCAGCCATAGGTGCGGAATTCCGCCTTCGGAAAATTCTAGCATGGTTCTGGGGATTGACCGTTTTAACACCGATCAGTTTTGATTATGCCTCATGTGTCGTTTGTTAGGTTGGAGCCCCCAAGAAGGACTTCGCTTGGTGATGTCATCCAAGGTAGCTTTTTCTGTTGGTTTTCCTGTTGATTCTGACTCATCCGCCACTCGCGCGCTTGAGCGCCTTGAGCGCCGCCTGGAGCGTGCGCGCTGAGGATGACCCGGCAGGTGCGCCATGCTGGCCTGGTGCAGCACGTGCTGGGCTCGTGGCTTGGGTGAAGATGGGCGGAAGGTTTTTTTTTTTTTTTTTTTTGCGGGGCGGAGGTGTAATTTGTCTGGGTGAATTGTAACGACCCCACACGACCCCACCCCAAATGGTGGTTTATGTGTGGAATATCCCTCCAACCACCTTATTTCAGGCTGGTGAAATATTGTAAGCTAGGTGCCCTTCTCTCATTTTTTTTTGGTTGGGAGTTGGGAGGGTTCCCCTACTAAAATAGACTACAGAAAAAAGGGTACCCTTTTTTGGCGAGGTGTGGCGGAATTTTCGGTGTCCAGCTAGTGTTAACCCCGGATTCATAAACCCCTGGTTGATTTTGATTGGCCCCCAAATAAGAATGGGACGGGTTCATTAATCCTGAGTCAACATTACACTCCCTCAGACGAACAGCTGGAAGCCTCCGGAAGGCCTCTGTAAATGGGTCACCAAGTCTTGGAATCGCCTGGGGCGGGTAAGGATCCTTTTGACGTTGAACCCTTAGGGAGGGTATAACCATGGCACAATCATGGTCTTAGACTCTCAACAATCATGGAAACTGACAGGAGGGTTTAGATGGGTGCCATGTTATTGAGAGGGAGGGTACTGGCAAAACATGTTCGGTCACTGATTCCGTGCCTCAAAAACGGCATGCGAGCGCGCGCTCGCGCGGATCCGTTTTCCTTTTCGGATAGGCCCAAGACAGATGCCTACGGCCAGACCCTCGGGGGCGCAGTGCAAGTCCAGCGCCTCGGACAAAGGGGATTGGACAAATCGTCAGTTGGGTTGGTCGTTTTCCCGAACAGTGTCTCATGGGGTCTCATGGTTGGGATTTTAGCGTCTCATGGTTCTCTCCCCTTTTGTTTGGTTGGTAAAAGGGCAAACAGAAGGAACCCATGGCAATTTTCCCCAACAGCTGCAAGCTATGGGGTCGCTAGGCCCAGAATGGGCTAAAGCGTTAACCGCAGGTGGTCGCTTGTCTTGACTCTTCATAAGTGTCCACTTGGGCCACCATTTTGGCTCAAGTGGACTCTGACCTTCTGTCTTGTAATCTGAAATCTTTCTTTCCCCTCCTATCAAAGCCATGTACGCCCCCGCCTACGCTGGTGCCGCGGTTGCAGAGGCCAAGGCGAAGGCAAAGGCCTCCATGGCGAAGTACCTGGCAAGCCTCGTGAAGAAGGAGGAAGAAGGATGGACCGTCTTGGCTGCTGAGGTCCCTCAGGCACCTGACGAGCGGTTCTTCTCCAGCGCCGATGAGCTGGAGCAGGCCCCACTCATCCCAGCCAAGCGCAAGGCAGAGGACGAGCTGATGGCAGACTCAGCCCCTGGGGTGGCGCAGGTGCCGAAGGCCCTGACACGCCCCCCAGGGGCGTTCCTGGAGCTCCTAAACCCGCCGGAGAAGGATGTTCCCATGGAGGAACTCCTGGCGGAAGACGAGGAGGAGCTCCCGATGTCCGACACCAAGTGGCAGAGACGCCGTGATCTGATGGCGAAGGTCAGGGAGCAGGCGTCCTCGGAGGAGGATGAGGACCCCGCAGCCCCCCCGCCGGGGGGAAGCGTCTTCACCAAGGCCCTCAAAGTCTCTGAGGGCCTTTACCAATTCAGCGATGACCAGATGGCGGGCGACTTCCCGTGTTTTGATGCGACCACGGCCACTAGGCTCCGCCGACTGCAGGCCAAGGACGTCCAGCGGCTCCTGAGAGGCTTTGAGGGCCCCCAACTCAAGCAGGGGGGCCTGGAGCGTGTGGTGGAGGCGTTCTACATCGCCAAGATGAAGTATGAGCATGAGGCCCGGCTCAGCACCCCGGGACAGCAGGTCGGCAAGCGCGCTGGCCTGGGGTATGGGGGCCTGGAGAACCGCCCCCTGGGTAAGGAGCCCACATCCTGGATCTGCCCCTGCTGCACCATGCCCTGGGTGAAGAAGGGCGCCAGGAAGTGTATGGGGTGCGGCAAGAAGACGGAGCCCATTGACATGGCGACCAACTCGGCCACCCTGGAGATGGCGGGCACGCACTGGCAGTTGACGGTGGATGACCAGGGCAATGCGGTCTGGACGGCGGCTCGGTCCGCAGGTGCCGATGGCCCTGACACGGACCGGGCCCGCGACCTCAAGCTCAGCGCCTCGGTGGATGTCAGCGAGCTGGCCACCGACCCGATGGCATGCGAGAACCCGGACCAGGCAAGCTTCTCGGACTTTGTCCCCTCCTCGGTCCGGGCGGTGATCAGAAACTGCCCCATGGAGCTGGACGAGGATTTCCTGACGGCCCCAATGGGGGAGAGGCCTCCATTGCCGGGCGACAAGGAAGAGGGCCAGGAATGCAGGGCCTTCCACCCGTCGGCGGTGAAGGCTTTCAAAATCCAGACCCGGCTCAACGCCACCACCATTGCCCAGGAGGAGGCCAAGAAGGCAGACCAGGTGGCAGCGGTGGAGCGATCCGCGGCGGTCCTCCACGAGCTTCAGGGAGGGGCCATTGATGGAGGAGGCGATGGGGGCCTACTCCTCAAGAATTTGGACTTGGACCTTTTCCGCGAAAAACTGCTGGATAAGCTGGGCGCGGACTGGGGGAGGCCCACACCGGAGCTCCTCCAGGCCCAGACCACTGCGGAGGAGGCGAAGGCAAAGCACCAGGCCAGACAAGCGAAGGGCGCCCACGAGACCAGAATGCTCGAGCCCATCAAGCCTCCATTCAGTGCGTGGCCTAACGAGGTCCGAGTTGCCATTGAGACGGGGGTCTTTGAGCCGACCACGGCATGGAGGGATTTCAGCATGGACGACCTCACGTCCCTCACGGACTCTTACCTCGAAGCCAAGGCGGTCATCTCGCTGGGCAGGAACCCCTTTCCGGCGGCCCTCCTGGCAGATCTGCCGGATCTGGCGGGGATCCCCATTCCAAAGGCGGGGGGCTCTGGTGCGGCGCGCCCAGGTGCCGAGGGCCCTGACAGGCAGCCCACCATCCCCCCAGCCTCGGGCTCTGGCGCGACGAGCTCAGGTGCCGAGGGCCCTGACAAGCCGTCTGCCACCCCAGGGGGCCTGGATACCCAGGACCCGGAGGTGCAGCTCGCGGTCCTGCGCTGGATGATGAGCAAACGGGTCGGAGAGGTCCGTATCTTTGCGGGCCGCTGGGTCCGACGACCGGGCCCCGTACACGTCCCGGACTGGGCCAACAACCTCACCAAGGTGAATCCGGAGGCGCTGGAGAGGGGTACGCATCCCAGGAACCACCAGGTGGGTGGACTCCCATGGGCCAGGTACTCCGTTGATGAGTTGAACCAGCAGGCTAAGGCGGGGGACCGACCCTACCCCGAGAACCTGCGTTCCATCTTCTGGGCGGCCCCCCACGATCCGGATGAGGACTTCCACTGGGCGCGCCAGATCTCGTCCTGGACACTTCCAGGCTTACTGGGGATGTTTGGTCACAGCTTCACCCTGCGCCAGCTCTGGGAGTCTGGGAGTCCCTGCCACTGCTGCTTCCTGAAGGAGGAGGGCCTTCCATTTCCGCAGACAGGACCGGAGTGGCGGTTGGTCTACCGGGCCATGGGCAAGGTCCTCGCGGCCCGGGCCTTCCTCACGGACACCCCGGCGGAGGTGATGCAGCTCCCGGTCCAGGACGTGGCGGACTCCAAGGAACAGATGATCCTCCGGGCGGTATGTGATGAGCGCATATCTGTCCCGGTGGAGAGTCTCCAGCAGTTCCCAGAGGTGTACAAGGCCCTCATGGACCGCATTGGAGGCCCGGGGGCCCTGGCGGAGGTGAAGGTCAATTGGCGCTGCAACACGAAGCAGTGGTGGGTCGGCGCAGTCCCCGACTCAGTGGCCCCCTCCATCTACCGCAAGCTCGGCTACACCAACGACATGATCAAGCTGATGGGCCTGGACCCCTCCGCCCCTGGGTGCCGGACAGGTGCCGATGGCCCTGACATCCGCCCCAGGGGAGGAGAGGGCGATGAGGGGATCGTTTACCCCCCCATCACATCGGACAACGTCCACGGCGTGGTGGGCAAGGACTACCGGAAGAAGAACTATCCGGCGGAGACGAAGCATGTCTTCTGGGCGCACATGGAGTGTGGCCTGGTCCTGAGCTCCGTCACCCCGTGGGAACTCATCCCGAAGACAAAGGGGAGACCCGGGGGGGCTACATGTGCAAGTACTGCAAGGGGTACTGGCGCGCCGGGGGAGGGGGCACCCGCCTCCTCCAGATCCGGGCCGGCAAGGCCATCCTTCAGCTGGTGCTGGACGAGCCGCCGGATGGCCTGTACAACCGCTGGGTCAAGGAGCGGTTGCGGGATGTCTCCGTGGTGGACCAGAAAGTCCCCCGGTTTAGGTTCAGCCACATCACCCAGACCGGCCACGTTTCAAACGCCATCTGGGAGCTGATTCTCCGGAATCCGGAGGCGGCGGCGCTCAAGCGCATTGATGACATTGCAAAGGGGGCCGTATGATCATACAGCACTGCGGCCATCCGGAACGGATTCGCAGCGCACCCCGGGGGGGACAGCTGCCGAGGGCGCTGATATCCCCCCCTGGGCACAGCACAGGCCTAGACCTGTACCAGGCGAGAAAAATTGGCGCGCTTGGGCTGGTCCGGGGTGCGCCTTGGCTCCCCTCCCTTGTTTGGTTCTTCCCTTTCCGGGGCGGCTCCCTGGGTCCCCCCCCCCTTTTTCCCCCGTTTCGGGATGGGCTTTCCGGGGTTTTTGGGGGCTCCCCTGTTGTTTGGTTGGGGTTTGCGCCTAGGAATTAGGCTCCTGGCTCGAGTGGATCACGATGATGTGGAGGCCCCGCCTCCCTTCCCCGTTTGGAACGACCTTCCTTGGGGTACCAACCGCGTTCCAGTTGATTTTGCATGACCTTGGATTTGCACCAGTGCAGTCGGACGGGGAAATCCTCGTGGCGTGCTGCCTGGAATGGGTCAAAAAGGACCAGGTTGCCAACCCGGATGCGGTGGTCTTTGACCCGCGACCGTGGACACGAATCGTGGGGCTGGCACCTGACGGCAACCATGTCCTGGTGGCCTCGGACACCTACAACTTGATCCTCGCAAGGATACTCGGCTCCCAACCACAACCGCTGGAGGAGGCGGATTTGGAGCTCGCTACTAAGACCCTGCAACAACTTCTGTTTCGTGCGGCAGGCGCCAGACAATCGCACACCTATTCTCCACTGGAAATGGAGCAGGCCATCCGGGACCGCGAGGAGTGGATCCTCTCCGGATCGATTGAGGCCCCGGATGTCCTGGCAGTGGCCAACAAGTGGCGGCATTGGAAACCAGGGAAGATCAAAACCCAATTGCCGACATCCCAACGAGCGTTGGAACAGCACTTGAGGGCCAGGTGGCTGGAACGCCTCCTGGGCTACTTCATTCCTTTCCGCCACCAGATCCCCTACATGCACCAGGTGATGGGGGCCAGGGAGCTGGAGGAGTTCGGCCACCTATTTGGAGATGCCCGGTTCCGGACCATCCGAGCACATTGCTTGGCCTATGAGGGCATGCGCAAGATCGGCTTCCAGAACCTCCCCTGGACGGCCGGTGACGTCCGGCACCTCATGAACCAGGCGGTCACGCTGGAGGTCACCCCGGCGAAGCTCCAGAAGTGGTGGGGCACTTTAAAGTGGCTCTCCATTAAACTCGGCATGCTCAACGTTGACGAACACAAACAGCTCCTGGCAAAGCGGAAAGCCATCCAAGAGACGCTGGTGGACACCCAGGTCAAGCCACAACGCAAAGCGGTGGTTCCGACCCGGGCGATT